TGGTGCTTGAATTTGTTAGTTTTAATATTTTAATTTTTATGTTAAAACGTGGTGGTTTTCAATTTTGCTGCTTTTTTGTATTTTTCTTGCTCATGAACTATGGTCGCAGATCGTGACCAAAACTGGCAGATCTGTTAGTGAATAAAAAACAATTTTATGCAACGATCGAGGAAAAAGCCTGATACTTTAAAGTAACAATTGTTACAATTATTAATAGTTAATTTCACCAAGAAGCTGCAATTCCATATTTGAAACAAAAAATTTCAAATTTAACCCAAAAGTATAATTTCTAATTTATTATTAAATAATATTTCTCGCGAGATAAATTCATTTTCAGTTTAATTCTGCGCAAAATGGATTTGCGTATGTATGTGAACCGGAGGTCATCCAAATTGTGATAAAATAACAAGGCATGAGAAAATGGTCTGGTTGAAAAAATCATCAATCAAGCGGCTAATGGGCCGGTCGGTCCACAGCGCAACTTGTGGCCCCACCTGTACCACCTTTTCTTCTCCAGAGTCCAAGGCCGGACGCACTTGAAAGAAAAACTCATCTGCTCCAAACACTTTTTGCCCAAACCAATCAAATCGTACTCGCGGGGCACAAATAATGCTAATAGCCCCCCGGGGCAAAAAGAGCCGCATCAATTTTTTCTTCTTCGTTTGGTACTTTCGTGGCCATTGTTTGAACAAAAAAAAACTCGCACAGAGGGCTTTGAGCGATTCATTGAACTTTGCGAATTTCCGGATGGATTTTCGTACCTCGGATAAAATGGCGCGACGACTTCATTTACTTGACGCATTATCAGCTGCGTGCGAGCTTTTATTGTATTTTTTTCACGCCGCTTCTCATTAAGCGCGAGAGGTATAAAGGCAGTTTATTGCTTGCTTTCCAGTAGCCCAAGCGGTTTTGCCACTTCTTCATTCGCGCATAAAAAGCGCTGCTTGATTTGTTTGTGGCAGAACGCGTGTCAATTTCGCTCCAAATCAAAATCTCCGCTTAGGACGCTCGCTTTAATCGGCTCTTCTGCAACGTTCATCATTTTTCGTTGGAGCGATTTGTGTTTCTAATTTCCAGAACTGGTTTTCCTTCTCAGCCGGCGAGAGTGAACGCACTTTAATTTGGCACCGTTACCAATAAGTGCGACTCAGACCAGCGAACTTCAGAGTTTCGGCAATTACACGGAATACGCCATCTCCATTTTTGCCTTTAAGCTCAAAAGGTCAAAAGTAGATTTCCAGCAATTGTGTATTTTTTATTCGATATTGAGCAATTGTGATCAATGCAAAAGAAATATTTATAAAATAACAACATAAAAAAAGTGTTGGAATACAAATTTTCTCCAGAAGTAGAAACATTTCTTTGATTTGAGGCATTTTACTTGCTCACTTTATTAAATGTGTAATGTTCTTTAAATTATTTATTGTGAAATCTTAACAGATAATTCACACAATTGTGCGTAACTCTCGGAGATTAAAGGACCACCTGCTGATTTTAAGTGCCAAATAAATGCTTCAAACAGGTTCTTGCCGAGGAAATATCTCCAGACATTTGAGTTCCGACTCGTTAATAAAAAGATCTCATCATCGCTTACACCGAGGACAAAAAATTGTATGATTCCGAAATTTAATCCCGAAGGATGAATAAAAGGAATGAGGCGAGACGACATTTTTTTCTTCTTCAAAATATACCCAAGATCGGCCACGCTTTGGTGCCCTTTTTCCCCGAAGCCGAATTAGAATAAACAAACCGGACGGAAAAAAATTGTAATTGATTGGGGCACAAAAAGAGGCGTTTGCGGTCACTAATTCCACGTTGGGCGTCAGAGTAGTGTGTGAGGAAAGAAAGAAAGAATCTCTTCTCGAGCAGCCAGCCAGCCAGCACCTTGTTAGCATTTGTGGGCTGATGCTGCTGCTGCCAGTGAGAGAGAAAAAGAGGAGACAAAAAAAGAGAAAAAGATAAACATTTGCAGCAGCCCGAGAGAAGTTGCAACAGTGTGTGAGCCGCGCTCCGCTCACTGGGAGAAAGATTCTTGCTTGGCTGCTTCTCCCTGCTGGGTGTTTCTCTCCGGCCCAAAATAAAAAAATCAACCAGAGTAAGATCAAAATTAAATTTGAAGATTTTAATCTTTAACCAATGCATTTTTCGGGATGAAAATATTAAAGAAATTTTGTGTCGGTACTTTATCGGGCTAGGAATATAATGCGTGGCTCTTTTGCTACCCAGACACCCTCATAAATCACAAAGAAAACATTGTAAAAATGTTCCCTCTCCTATTTATTTTACTGTAAATATTTTCGTCCCTGTCAAAAGTCACAACCTGACTTTGGCTGTTTGTTCCTCCTTTTTCGGAGGGTGCGGGAACAAACGAAAATGGCCTCATACTTGGTATGCACGGAAGAGCTTCCTTTTGTGTCAACGTGGCTTTTGCGCAATGAATTAATTAATCCTCCACGTGAAGAAATTAAGAGGTTTGCGCTGAATTTATGGCCAAATTGCTCAACACGATCCAAGTTGAGTAATTTTCAGTAATATTACAAATTAATATCTTTTTGTTTGAAGAAGTTGAAACTAAAGGAGATGATCATGGGAATGAATAGATCAGGCTTTTCCTCGTTGCAAATATTGCAGGGCCATTTGGTTTTTGAATAAAAATAATTTCTGCGACGATGAAAAGCTCAATCTCTTTATTTCCGATAGTATTTTTCATATTTTTTTTAAAGCGAAAAATAATCTGTCGCAGTTATTTCAGTGAAACTTTTTAGAATCTTTTTCTTTCCTTTTTCTAGATTCAGATTTTAAATTTGTTGAAGACAGATTTTGAATGTCTTTTGGCTTAAAAAAGTAATTTTTGACTTCATATCTCAGTCAGAATAGTCAAACTTTTGGACAATTCTCATAAAACCGAATTTAATCGATATTCGATTTTTAAATAGGAAATAAGCAAAATAAATTCTGGCTGTTTGGTTTTTGACTTGGCAGCAACAAATTACTACACGCTCCTCTGCAGTACGGTTCAGGTGAATATTTATATTTCCAGTCCATTATCAAGATTATGAAATGCTTTAAACGAGGACTCCGCACGAAAAGCAGCGATTATACTCACAATTGCCTTGCATGTTTTGCGCACGTAATGTGAAAAAACACGCCCTAAAGTGCGAGGGAGGGAAAGTGGTGATTTCGAGCATAAAGTTTGGTGTCTGCCTCCCAAAATTTTCCGCTCCACCCACAATCGAAGAACAAAAAACCACTTTTCTAAAATAAACAAAAATCGTATTCGTTTTGAAAAGAGGCGCTTTCAATTTTGTTAAAGGAGCACATTTTTAAGTTTCGAAAAATAATTCAGTTTGTGTAACACAAGTTTTTACGATCAGAATTGGGCTGTGCGTTATTGATTGGCTGATAAAAAAGCTTTGGCGGCGCAGATCAATAGGCGACCCGAAATAAAAACGACACCTCAGCTGCCTTATCAAAAGGGACGACAGGCTTTTCATTTCGTCTGATAAAAAACAAGCGACAAAGAGACCAAGTCGCAAATAATGCCGACAGATGCTTGTTGGCAAACAACTAAAGCACTTTTAATTTAATTCGCCCGGCTTGGTGAGAAAATTTCAGCTGCCCAAAATGGCACCAAATGTTTGAAACTCTACATTAGAAGTTTGAATTCAAAAAAAATTTCAAAATAAGCAAAAATTTGTTTTTAAAAGTTATATTAATATTTTGGCAACATTAATTTAAATTAATAAAATTTGTGACGTACTTTTAAGTAAAATAATAATTCATTCCTTCTTTTTATAATCATTTTGAAGACTTTCGTGAATACTCTATCGTACATGATGGGAACAACTCAATTTGCGGCCAAAATCTAGTTTTCAGGTGCGAAATCGAATCCGGAGAAAGAAACTTGACGCTGAGCAGAACCCATAGAGTCGTGGCCGGCCAGCGTGTGGATCAGTTTCTTCTTTGCCTGCGCCGAATATCTGAGATTCCTTTCTCGCCCTCGTTTGGTTTTTTCTCGCTAGCTCGCTCGCTGGGCACTTGACAAAATAAATAAATACAAAAAAATACCCACGCCACGAGTGCTCGCTCGATGCAGCGCGGCGCTTGACAAATTTATCACCGGTCGTTAAGATTCTCGAAATCAAAAAATCGAGGGGACTTTTATTTTATTTGATTAACGGGGGAGTTTTTTTCTCTTCGGTACGAAAACGAGCTGCTTCCTGCTTCGGACGTGGGTGGCGAGTGAGAAAATCTATTTCGGTCTTTTCAAACATTTGAACGCCAGATGCCGGCGAGATTGTCAGCCGAGGGAATAAATATTCTGCGCCGCAATCAGATCTATCTCTTGGTAATCTGCATATTATAAGCGGCGTGGAATTAATTGACTTTTGACCCGCGTCTTAATTGGATATTTCTCCATCCGAGAATTCATCAGGCGGGAAGCGAAACAAAAGCACGACGCGCTTTTGGTGATTTATCATTTCCAGAATAATTAACAGGCTTGTCACGATCGGTCAGCTTCAAAGGGAAACTTGCCTCGTTTCAGTTTCCTTATCAAGGAAAACAGGAAACGTCATTTTCTTTTCTTTTCAATCCAACCCTTTCATAAAGTAAATATTTGTCCCAGATTAGTCAATAAACTTGGACAGAAAAGTTGATATAAAAAAAATTTGGTAAATTGTTTTTGAATTGCTTAAAAATTAAAAAAATATTTTTTTCTCGAAAATCGTATAACAAAGAAAAATGACAAAAATCTACAGTACGGAGTCCTTTTTCATTTTTAGCTTTGATTTTTACGGTTTTTTTAATTCAATTGATCCTCACAAAAACTGTGCCGATGACTAAAACTTTATTATTTTTAAATTTTTCTGAAAGTAATCCCTAATAAGTTGGAGTGCAAAATGTTCAATTTTCATGTAAGACTGTTTTTACTTTCAAATTAAAAAAAATTATCATGGTCTCGAATTTTGTAAACTTTTGAAATTTTTGAAAAGCCCTACCTTCGACCTTTCCCATGGCAAGGACGGTGATGGTCTTGACGGCAGGGACGGCCCAGGCGGCCAGGTGGAAGTACTGCGAGTTTGCCTCGATGGCCTCGTGGCCCCACTTGAGGCCGGCGGCCAGGAACCAGGTGAGGGTGAGAACCACCCACCAGATGGAGGAGGCCATGCTGAAGAAGTAGAGGACCATGAAGACAATGGTGCAGGCCTGGTGCTTGGTGCCCTGGGTCACGGTGGACACCATTTGCAGCCTCGGCAGGTTGGACGGCGGCGGAAAAGGGTCCCTGCACGCGATTTGGTCGCCTCGAATGAAGCCGGCCACGTAGGCGGCCGACACGGCCAGGTAGCAGCCTGAGAGGAAGATGATGGGCCGCTCAGGGTAGCGGAAGCGGTTCGTGTCGAAGAGGAAGGTGAGCACGGTGAAGAGGCAGGACACCAGGCACAGCACGGACCACACGCCGATCCACACGCGCGCAAACTGCTTCTCCTGGTTGCTGAAGAACATCTCGTCGCACGGCGCGCCACAGTCCTTCTCCTCGATGGTGCCCACCCGGAGGGTGTAGTCCAGGTCCTTCGAAACCCTGAACTGCTCAGGACACGCGAATCCGTATCTGAGAACAAGCAAAAGAAAAACGTCAAAATTGCATTTCAAACGAAAATAAATATTAAAAAATATGCTCGCAATTTTTAAAATTTGCGGGTCAAATTAAATTTTAATTTTCATCGTAATGCATGCCGCTCATGAAAAACTTTTTTAACCACCTTCTTTTTTGCAAAGAGGAAGTTGAAAAAATAAATAAATAAAAGGACAATTGATCCCAAAAGGCGGTCTGCTGATACTCTTAAACCTAGGGTTTTTTTGTGTTTCGAAACTAAATCTAAATTGGAGGTATTGAATAAAACATTAAAAAAATAAAATAAAATAAAAAATCAATAAATAATACAAAATAATAATATGCATCTAATTGTAAGCCCTGGAAATTTCTGGAAAATTTACATTACAGTATGCTATTGACTAACTCCATTACTTAATTAGTATGCATTTTTTTATTTGAATAATTCCCAATATTAATTTCTATTTTTTCATCAAAAAACCTCTTAGCGGGTTTAAAATTTAAATTGCTCAATACTTTAAAGTATCAACAGACCGCAGGTCACCTTTGGGGTCAGTTGTCATGTTATTTTTTCATTTTTCTCTTTGCAACGAGTTTTCAATTTTTCATGAAGTCCACCTCAAAAGTTATTGTTCAATTTACATTAAATTTGATCTAAATTTGAAAACTCCAAATTTATATTTAGCACGCTTCACGCTTCAAATTGAAACCTACCAAAGGTTCAAAGGTTGGTTTTGTCTGGCTCAGGTTACTAGAGCTCAGGTGACGCGACCTGATACAAAGAATTTTGTGCTTGTTTATCAGCAAGCTCAGGTCAGGTTGACCGATTTCTGATTTCTGACCCTCCAGGTCGTGAAACTTGACCCTGAATGGCCACCTGAGACCAAATAGTATAGTTTTGGGTGGCTTTTGAAATAGAAGCTAGTGTCAAAAAGTGTCAGCCAAAGGTGGTTTGCTATGCCACCCACCAAGGGTGCACCTGACTCAGGTCAGGTGTCCAAAATGATTGTGAATCTTGAAGTTGAAATATCAATTTGCCAAGGAATTGCGAGGACTATAGAAACAAACACGTCTAATTCCATATTTAAGTTTAAAACACAGAGACGACGAGGTTTTTATCGGTTTTTATATCAACAGAATAATAAAATAAATTGCAGTAACTTTAATAAATTCGTGAAGCTTGAAGAAGCTTCATTAAGAAAATAAAATTAATGCGTTTGGCAACTTTGGTGTTGAATAATTCAATTTCATTTGTAAGTAGCCTCTAGTGTAGATTAAAACTTCGGTCCAAAGGTCTTTAATTAATCATCTAGAGTTAAGTCGGAGAATTCATTCTGAGAAACAGAAACCATAAAATTTTCATCTCCAATAATGTCTAAAAGGATAATAAATATTTAAGAATGACAAACACATGAAATATTGAATATTATTTTTTCCTACATAAATTAAAAAAAGTTTAGTTCATATTGTATTTAAATTATGTATTTTTCAATTCATTTAGTAGAATGTTTCAATTAAATTAATAATTATGATTTTTTTTTCAAATTTTAATAAAATTTGATTTGTAAGTCAACTAAAAATTCAGTTTTTTCTTAATTAATTAATTAATTAATATTAATTACTTTAATTAATGTATTGACAAAAGGGACAAAATAATTCACCTGTATCTGCCTCCATCTGAAGGGTATCCTCTGGGATAAGCAGGATTCGGACTGAAGTCACTCGGAGAAGGGTTGAAGCCTGGGGAGGGGAGTTTTCCCAGGTGAGTGGGAAAGGTGTCGACACCGGCGAGGGTGTTGTCCCAGTGTCCGAGGCCGCCAGGGTCCTGGTGGTGTCCGCCGCCGGGGGCGGCCGAACTGGTCTTGTTCTCGCCGACGCAGATGTTGCCGTCGGTCGGGTTGGGGAATTTGTTGCAGTCGAGGCCCTCAGGCCACTGGAAGCCGAAGCGGTTCATCAAACTCTCGCAGCCGTTCTTGGCCGACAGACACAGCGAGCGGCACGGAGGAAGCGGGTACTCGAGGACCGTGCAGACCGGCGCGTACACGCTGCACAGGAAGAACTGCAGGTCGGGACTGCAGTTGACCTTGACCAGGGGGAAGTAGACGTGGACCTCGAGGCCCGCGTCCTCCTGCTTCTGCTGGTTCAGCAGGTTGGGCATGATGGTCTGGTTGTACGGCATGTCCAGACAGAAGGGGATCGTGATGGCCTCGCAGCGCTCGTGGTGCGGCAGACTGTCCTTGTCGGACACCCGCGACGACTGGATCGGCGAGGCGCCGCTCGTCCGGCCGACCACCGCCGCCAGCACTGCCAGCAAAATCGACACCCGTCCGACCATTTCCTAGCTGCGGTCACTCTCTGTCCATGCTGGAACGCGCCACTCGGACACCTCCGTCCGTACGCACACAACACTGGAAACTATGCTCAGCACTCAGCAGACGAAAAGTTGAGTACTGCGTCGGGCCTCAAAACTCAAGATCGATCGATTCGTTTCGATTCTTCCGAATTGGGGGCTGATCGCCGCGACAGCTCTCTTGATAAGCAGCAGCACGGTAAAATCGAGTGCGGCGATCAGCTTCTTGCTTTTCAGAATTCCTGTAAATTTGAAAATGGAATTAGATCTTGGTATTATTTTTAATTTAATATATAAGTTTTGGCACATTAAAAGTCCATTCGAATTATTTTTGAAATTCTCTTTCAAGTTTAAACACGTTTAAAATTATACCTGGGCGCTTCGATTGTCTTATGTGGGGACCCATGAGGAACATCTGCAAGCCATCTGTTTGCGTTTGCGTAGAAAAATGGCCGGGACCCCCCCTTCGGCGGCTCGTCGGCGCGCACCACCGCATGCGCGCACCTGCTTCATCTTGTCTCTAGAAACTCCCATCAGAGAGCGCTTGTGGTTGGATCCTCTGCTCTGCAAAACATAAAACGCAGGTCGCCGAGTTGGGTTATTTTTAACACACAGATGACACAGACTAACAAATAATTATAATAGAGTCTGTGTTATTACATTACAGTTGACATGAGCACCAGACCCGATAATATCTTTCTAGATTGGCAGGACTTGTATCATTAAATACAAATATAATTTTCAATTTAAAATTAAATTTATTATTGTTATTTTACATTCTTTAGCGCATATTTTTTTTATTTGGCCATTTTTTAGTAGAGAAAAAATTATTATTAGCAAATTTTTGTATTTATGTTTTTTTTTATCTTAATAATACCTAATACTTCTACTTCATATTAATATTTCGCGTTCAAAAAGTTGTAAATGAAAATTGAAAAATCAATTTATTTCTAGAATTAAACTAGAAAATTAACCATATTTAAATATAATATATTTTACTTATTTCTTATTTTAAATTGTTGGTTTTTCTGATTTTTGTGTGTGCTATTCTTACTCATGAAATAGAGTCACAAACCTTGACCAAAACGGATAGAGCCATATTTTTTAATAAAAACAATTTTTCAATGAGGACAAAGCCTATTTTCTTCACTTATTAATTCCATGATGGTCTCCTCAAGTGCAAATTTTTTCTTCAATCTAATAAATATATCTGAATCATTAAAATGAACGTTTAATTAAAATTTAATAATGAGCATATCTTTGACTTATGCGTTATGAGTGGAATCCATTGATATAGAGAAATTAAAAAAAAAAACATATTGTTTTGATCCAGGATTTTCTTGCATTTTTTTATAATGAAAACGAGTGGAGTTCTGAAAAGGTGAAGGAATGAAGAAATGAATAAAAATGCATTTTGCACGTGTTGTGTCATTTAAAACAGTCCAATTAAGTGGCTAATATTTATTGTATTTCATTTGAATGAGTTCACATTATCTAAAAGTGAATAATTTTACAGAAGGAAAATAATAATTATTTCTTATTCTTATCAAATCATATTATTGAAAAAATAAAACTCAAAGGGAAAATACAAATGTAACGAAACGGCAGCACCTCTAGCGAACAAGTCGCTACAACGCGGAGCCTAAAAAAGCTTCACGCCAGCGGTGGCCAAAGGAAAATTAGGGGAAATTACAAAAACAGCTATTTTTCATAACAGAAATAAGCTTATTTAAGGTTATCTGTACATTTAATTTTTCCACAAACAAGGAAACAACTCTCGTTTCAATTTGGTTACTCAGCATTTCACCCGTCCATATTAAATATTGGCCAATCAACAACGAAAACAAGCCACAAATGCACACTTTTGCTGAATTGGTCGTCCCCACATTTTTTCTTTATTTTATATATCGACAAGTGGTACACAGGCCTGCTACACATTCCAATTTAATGCGAAGGCAATTTATTTTCATATATATCGAGAAGGCTTATCGACGACGAGACACTGGAATATCAGACTGGCTGCGGCGCGGGCAAAAAGTGGTGCTAAAAAGACGACAAGCAGGCAACAACGGTTCAGGTTTTTCAAATCGACCTTGGATTTTTTCACAAAGAGTGCAGAGAGCAGCTTTGCAGCTCGCGAAGGGGACGAGGGGGGTATGACTCTGAGAGAGTGAGAGAGAGAGAGACGGCGACGAGTTGCATATATGTGCAATTGCACGTGCGGTAATGAGTTGATCAGTTCAAGTGAATAGCCGCTCCTTCGCACACTTCGCTCCTGCTTGCAATCCCTCAGATTTAAACTTGGCGAAAGCGGCTGGCAATCATTATTTGGACAATTTTTCACTGAAAAGGTAATTTGAAATTATCAATGATAATTTTCACATTTTGATTATTTCGTTTTATGTTATAAATGCATGCATTGATGTACTCACTAGTTTAAGAAAAGTGTTTTTTCTACTTTTTTCATGAAATTACAAAATTAAATCACTGCAATATATTATAGTTTTTTCCATTGAAAGGATTTTACTATCAATTTAATCACTGTACTAAAAAAAACATTCAAATGAATAGAAAAAAATATCTGATCGCATTTTTGTTCTATTTTGCTTTTTTTAATAATAAAAATATTTAAAATACTTTAAAATTTGATGGACTTTTGAAGTTTTAAATATGCACCGGTTTAATTTTGAGACATCCTGCTTTTTGCCTCCATGATATTTTCTGGATTATCGCAAGCGGAGTATGCAGCAATAGATTTGCATAGACAATTGACATAGAGGGTTCGTTGCTATCCCCTGCATGCTTATGTAGTTTCTTTTCCGTGCACCAATATACATATTTATTTGCGCGTAAAGAGGCCAAGGCGAAATCTCAAGAGTGCACGCGCCGCAAGATGCTTTGCCAATTTACCCCTTCCCCTGTGTTCTCAAGTGCAGTGAAGAGAAAATAATGCACTTTGCCGTTTTCGCTGCACGTGTACTCGTTCAAGTAGAGGCAGAGCTGCACACACAGATATGAATCTCTCCGTACGTGTGCATATTTAATGTGCAATAATTATCTATTGCAATAATAATTCTCGCTCGGCGCGCGCAGCTATTTTCGTTCCGTTCCTAGCCGAGAGCAACTTTCTTCTCTGCCATTCTTTGACTTGATAATTGTGATGTTTTGCAATTATTGCAATAAAATCGCTTTTATTTGCAATTCTCCTAAGTGAGAGGTATGATCGTTTCTAGATTAAAATTATACTTTTTAAATTTCATTAATATCAATTTATTAACTGTATTTTTCCTCCTATTTTATTTTGCGGCTATATTTTCTTTTAAAGAATAAATTAACAAAATAGATTTGTCTAAACTGAAACTTGGAAAAAATCCTGAAGATTTAATTGTTTGAATAATGTTTTCTTTTCTGTAGATTTGAGCATGGTGAACAAAAAAGAAGCCAGCAGCAGCAAAAGCGTCGGCATTGCGGCTAGAGCAATTTCTCGATCATCCTCTTCGTCCAGCAGCAGCAACTCGAGTCCTGCGCCAAAGCCCGCTTCGAACCGCATGTGCGCCCAGTGCCAAAACCACGGCCTCAAAATTCCCGTTCGCGGACACAAACGTCGCTGCAAGTTCAGGTAAAAAATTCGTCTATTTTATTACAGCATAATAAAAATTACTGTTGAGGATGCAGATTCATGCTGAAATTGGACTCAAAATTAAAGCTCCTTTTCCTTTCACAATTTCTTAACCTTAAAACAAATCAATATTTTGCTTAATCTGAAAAAAATTCAATAAAATGTTCTTATTTCATTTTTTTACTCTTTTGCATAATTAACTTTTTTTAATATTTGTAAATAATTTTTTGAAAATAATTTAAACTGCAGAAATTTTGAGAAAAATCACACCCATTTACCTTCTAAAGAGCCTTTCTATTTCATTTCTCTGCAATCCAAATGTTGAAAATGTTGGTGTAGAGCATAACTAATTTATGGAGTACTACTATAAAAACATTTTGAAAACTAAAACTCCGATATTTATCAAGAAACGGCTGGTTTCATAACTCCAGATTCCAGATTTCTTGAAACAAAAATTTAATTTATTTTATTATTATTATTGTTTTTAAGATTGTGCAACTGTCAGAACTGTTTGCTGGTCAAGGAGCGGCAACGCATTGTTGCTCTGCACCTGTACGTGCGCAGGGCGCAGCAGCAGGAGGAGGACGCGGCGGAGGCGGCCAAAGCGGCGGCCCTCAGCCGCAATCCTCCCCTGCAGTCTCCACTCCTCGAAGGCGCAGATTTGTACAGGGTGGCCGGGGTGGCGGCCCCCATTCCCGACTACCATCACTCCAACAGCGTGGCTGCCGCTGCCGTCAGCTCGGCCTATTTGGTTGCCGAAGGTAAAATTAAGTTAAAATTAATTTTTAATTATTATTATTTATTCTTCTACTTATTAAATTATAATTAATTTTATTCTGCATTTGTAGCGGAAAAACAGAGAAAAAATATTATGTTTGAGGAACTGCTGAAGCTAAGAGACGAGTTCCAAATATCAGAGGAAGCAATGCCTTTTCTTTTGTGCGTTTTGAAACTTACAGGATCGTATGAGGAAGCTTCTGTGAGAATTAAAAAAGGTAAGGCCAGAATATAAAAAATTTAGAGTTTCATTAAACTTTTCTCATTGCAGAACTAAACGAGTTAAATGCTCTGCCAGGACAGCCTGGATTTAAAAAGAGCATCCACTTGTCAGCATTTTCAAGCATGCACCGTCCATACTTTATGTAAATTTTTGCACTTTAAAAGTTCTGAGGTTAAACACTTTGCTGATACAAAAAAGTTTTCATCAATAAATGCAAAAGTGGAAAAAGCTATCGGAAAATTTATACACATCCTTAATATTTTGTATGAAATAAAAGTATTAAAAATATAAGAAATTAATTATCATTAATTATTGTTGTGCGGCGATTCGGATGCATAATTCATGTTATTTTTTAAAGTTGATTTTTTTATGCTCGTCCCCTTATCTTGTATTTCTCCTCACAGCGATACATTGGCGACACCTTGTGTGTGATACAAATAAATTAGTATGATTTTGATTTCTCCTGTGAGCCGCTCGAGTTATTATTTCGCCGACCGGTCCCAAGTAGGGCTATAAAACAAGGTCAGTAAGTCTTTCGGGGGGTCATACTCAGTGGGGGGCTTCCAGCCGTCAACGGCTGGTGAGCCGCAAGCATATTATTTTGGATTAGTTTGAAGATTGTTGAATTGAATAAAATTAACCCTAGACGAATTATTAAACAGGTAAATATGAAACTAGCACACCTAAATCAAGACTTAAAGTGGTGTTGGGCCTAGGCTGGCGAAACAAGGCACAACCCTGTCCCCTAGCAGGTGCCAAGCCAGTTCCTAGTATAAAGCGGTATAAAGGATAAAGGTCGGTACACTCAGCGGGCATTCCCACCCACCGAGTTTGAGTTTGAAGTGATACCACAATTTTTGCCCAATTTTTATAACACATTTTTTACAACAAAAGTTAAAACCTCCAAATTTTAATGAATTTTACTGAATCGCATGCAAATTTGTCGTATTTTTCGGTATTTTTATTCCGTCAATGGCAGTGCTAATCGTTTAGCATGCATAATGTGAATCTTTCGTGTGATTGCACACGTTTTTCGCGCTTGATTTTAAATACGCCGCGCCCACCGGACCCTTCTCGCCTCTGCTCGCCTCGCATCACGCATGCAAAATCACAAAATCACAATCACAACAAACCGGCACCACAAGTATGGAAAACAAACCAGAAGTTTGCGACCTTCCAGCCGAAAATATTGAGGAATTGGAGCAGATTCACAGAAAAGAACGGAAAGACCTGCAAGGTAATTAAATTATTCAGCTTTAATTAATTTCTGGTATACATAATCGTCGTCATCTTCAGCCAAGATACAAGCACTGAAAAAGTCGTGTGCGAAGGGCGACAAAAAGAAAAAGAAAGAAGTGGCGGACGAAATCGCCAAGTTGGAGGCTGACCTGGACAAAAAACAAGAGGAAGAAGTCAGGAAGATTACAAATTCAAATTCTTCAGTTGAGGTATTATAATTTTCATTTCCTTGAACAGAGTTATGTACTTTAAATTGAATGGTAACACTCGAGGTGGATTTCATGAAAAATTGATAATTTGATAATTTTTCAGAGTTATGTACTATTTATACAAAAAAATGCAATTTTGTAAAAATTTATTTCGTAATCTTTTAGGAAATTTCGGAAGAAGTAGAAGCTCTTGGCATAGACAGCGCTGCCGAAAAAGCTCCTCCGAGGCTGACAAAGGCCCAGAAGCGACGGGACAAGAAGGCTGAAAAAGATAAAGAACGGGAGGTTTTAATTGCACAGCAAGAGGTGGATAATAAATTGGGTCCAAGGCACAGAGAACAGACGATAATCCAACAGCTGCTTCAAGCCAGAAAACTGCGCTTATTCGAAGTACCATCCAACGGGGACTGGTGAGAGTTGAAAACTTTGAAAATTACAATTTTTATTTAATTGATTTGAAGCTTGTATTTGGCAATCGAGCACCAACTTAAGGAGTTGAATCGGCCACTGAAGAAGGTGGTGGAATTAAGAAGACTTACAGCCGAGTACTTGCGGGCCCACGAAGAGGACTTACGACCCTTCACTTGCAATCCAACAACTGGATGTGAATTTTCTCCTGAGGAGTATTCCTCATATTGCGGAAGAGTTGAAAGTGACAGTTCAGAGTGGGGCGGTCAACTTGAGGTTAGTTTTATTTCTTTCATTACAATAAAAGTTATGTTTTGTGCTTGTAAATAAATAAATAAATTATTAAATTATTTAATTTCAGTTGCAAGCCCTGTCCGAAGCTCTCTCTACACCAATCGAGGTTCTCCAGGCGGAAGGAGCCCCAGTTTTGCTGGGAGACAATCACCGTCCTAAACTTCCCCTCGTCCTGACCTACCACAGGCACGCCTTTGGTTTGGGCGAGCATTACAACTCGGTCACTGCAGATGAAAGAGAATAAAAATGGCCGCCCCTCCAGATCCGCTTTACTCCTTCAAAGGAAACCAAACTCAAGTGCACAGTTTGAACTTTTTGCTAAATGCGACAACTGAAAAACTTTTGTCGGGCACCAGGAATGGTCACATATTTATATGGGACCTCCAATCTCTGGGTCTTGACCGTAGTTTTGCGTCTGGAGATGGAGCTTGCATTTCTCTGCTTGCTCCTCAAGGATCAAGTGCTTTTGTTTCACACAACAGAGGAGACGCTGTGAAGAAGTGGTCGGTGGTCGATGATGGGTCTCTCAAGTGCACAGCCAAACTACCGACCAGCTGCCTGCAGTTTTGTGCTGCTCAGTTGCTGCAATCCCCCACCACAAAAGACCAATTCGTCGTTTTTCCAAGCGGAGAGGCCAATTGTATCCAGGTTGATCATTTTGAGCAGGGCACAGTGTGTCGTTTGCAGTGGCCAGAGAAGGTTGGAAACATCATGTATATTTGTGAAGCGGGGTGTGGACAAATCTTGGCTCTCTTTGAGGCTGGCGACCTGTTGCTTTGGGACATGCGGAACTCAAAACACCAGCTGAGCCACAAGTTGGTAAGATAAAATTAAATTTCAATAATATTTAATTGCCATAAACCTAAATTTTTTCTAAATTTTTTACAGGATTTGGGTGGGGATGAAGAAAATCCGACGGCTGCAATGTGCATGGCCTTCAGCAAAGAAAAATTGCTCGGAATAGTTGGAACCTCGGACAACAACATCAACCTCTTCTCTAAAAATCCGGATTTTAAACATCTCACGTCATCAGCAATAAAAAACTCGGGCATCAATCACATGAGTTTGCGAGCTGACCAGAAGGTGAAATTTTTATTCCTTATTGTGAATAGGAAATTATTTTTTATTTCATCCAAAAGTTACTTGCTGCAGCCTGTTGGGACTCAAAGGTACGACTCTTTTCTCTTCGTGGTCCTGAGAGCAAGACTGTCCTTCGACCGCTTGCAGTACTACCAACCCTTGTGGAGGACAAAAGTGTCAGCTGCACGGCCTTCTCAGACTCTCCAGTTGTAAGTCTTGGAAACAAAACTATTTTGGCAGCTGCAGGTGAGGCCTGCTCTGTTCTTATGTGGGATGTATACAATTGAGGCAAAAATGCCTCGCAATTAAACAAATTTAATTATAACTTCAATGAAGATTTTAAATTAATTAACTAAACAACAAATTACGTTTAATTCTATTTTTTAATAATATCTTTTTATTTAACAAACTACGTGACGTGCTAGGGATTACTTAACATAAATTAAATTTCATTTGAATTATAATTTATAAAATTTATTATGAATATTATTTAAAATATTTATACTATAAATTCATTAATAGGTTATTAGTGAACTAAAAATACAAAATTTACATAAAAAACTTTTATACGTAATTATAATTTACAAGTTACTTAATTCGTCCAACGCACAGTGCCCATTTGAGTCTTTTAATTCGAGGTCAGCCTCATAATCAATCAATATTTGCACAACACCCCAATGCTTGTTCCTTGCCGCTGTTAAAATTGCCGTTTCTCCGTTCGCATTTGTCTCATTCAATTTTATACGGACGTCTTTTAACAAAGCAAAGACGCACTTATTATTTCCTGCAGCGGCTGCTAAAAAGAGAGGTGTCTGCCCTTGATTGTCTTTTGCATTGCAATCCACACCCTCTTCTAGGAGCATCTTTATTGCTTCTTCTTGACTATTATTTGCAGCCAGATGAAGCGGAGTCTGTTCCTTGGCGTCTGGGATGTCTAACTGGGCACCTTTTTCTTTAAGCCGTCGAATAAATCGTGTAAGGCCGTGGGCAGCAGCTATGTGGAGGGGTGTAAACCCAATATAGGTATCATGTAAGGAAGGCAAGGAGACCCTCAAATTTACATCTGCATCTTCTTTCTCCGCTAGTGCCAGAGCTGCGTCTTCAAGGCGCATTGCCAGTGCCATGTGGACTGGCGCAAATCCATTCAGACGATCTCGTAGGTTGACATTGACGTTTGGCACTGAAAGCAAAAGATTTATGCACTCCAGGTTTCCCGATTGCAGCACTCTGTGCAAAGAGGTGTACCCAATTGCGTCTTGCAAGTTGGCGTCTGCTCCATTTTGCAGCAAAATTTCCATTGCTTTGTAGAGACCATCCTGTGCTGCATAGTGCAAAGCAGTCAAGCCGTCCGAATCTGTTGCGTCAACCTCAACTTCAGGATGTTGCAAAAGGATTTGCATCAGCGTAGGATGGTTTGCCACTATACTCATGATCAGGGCCGTCTCGCCAGACTCGTTTCGTTGATTAACGTCGGCGCCTCTTTCCAAAATAACCCTGGTTGCTGGTTCAAATCCCATGCTAATTGCCATGCTCAACGGCGTCACTCCGGCCGAGAGTTGGCAGTTGAGGTTCACCACTTCTTGTTGGCAGAGGAAAGTGAAAATTTGCTCATTGCTCTCTTTGCAAGAACCTCGGAGGCAGTCGTATAGGATTAACTCGTATGGGCCTAGATCACGGAAAGGGTTGCAACGTCGCTGAACTAAGAATCGAAAGGCATGGAAATTTCTATCTTGATAGGCGACTTGCAGTAAAGTCAAATTATGAAATCGCTCTTCAAAGTCTATTTGCGCGTTTTTCGATGTTAGAATTTGTAGGCATTCTTCGTAGTCATAAAATACTCCCAAATACAAGGGCGATTCGCCATTGGAGTCGCGCGAATTTACGTTTGCCCCTACGTTGACAAGAATTTGCATATTTACCAAATTTAAATTATTTATTGCAAGGTGCAATGCAGTCTGACCATTTTTATTTTTTGCATCAATTGGTTTGGTCACTTGAGCAAGTGCAGCTGTACTTTTGTTGAACGAGCTTTCCACGGCATTGTGCAGGGGTAAGTTCCCTTTGCAATCTGGAATGTTTGGGTTGGCTCCGCTTTGAAGAAGAATTTGAATCAAATTTGGCAGGTCCCTCATAGCGGCCATGTGAAGTGGTGTCGTGCCTTCTTCCTCTTGGGCGTTGACGTCGATTCCTTCTTGCTCCAATAGCAACTTGACCATCTCCTCGCCGGCAAAGCGGACAGCAAAGTACAGAGCCGTTTTTCCCTTACTTGAGCGCTCTGTGACATTTACCTTTCTCAAAAGCTTCTTTGTTATTTCAACTTTGTTGCAAGAAACTGCTAGGTGAAGAGGTGTCGTATCTTCATGTTGTTTAGAGGTCACATCCAAATTTTCGAAAGTGAGCAAGTAATCAATAATGTCTTCACGGCCTAATCTGATTGCTGCAGTCAGAGGCGTTTGCCCGTTCAGATCTTTTTTGTTCACGTTCAAACCACGCTTAACCAGCATTTTCATTTTATTCAATTCACCACTTTCAGCGGCGCAAAACAGAAGACACCTCTTTTTATTTGTTTCCGCATTAATGTTGACACCGTCTCGACTAATTATTCGCTCAAAAACTTCATCGCTCTTAACAAGGGCGTAGAAGGCAGCTGTTCTCCCCAAATCGTCAGCCAAATTTAAGTCGGCACCTGCGTCAGCCAGCACTTCGAATATTTCTGGCTGGTCTAATAGGACTGCAAAGGCTAGGGGCCCATAGCCATCGTCTTTATGGTTAATTTCGTCTTTATCAAATTCATTTAGCAGTAATTTTACTGCCGAAACGTTTCCCGCAGAGATGGCAAAAGACATAACAGATTTACCGTCTGCACTTTTGGCAGTCGTGTCACCGCCCGCCCTAATTAATTCTTCAAGTAGTTTTGATCCACCACTCATTTTTGCGGCAAAGTGCATTAGTGACTCACCACTTGGCAGTCTCTCATTAATACCGCTTGAATCCTTTTCCAACAGTAAAAGAGCACATTCTTCGTGAGATTGAATTACTGCTAGGTGAAGAGGCTGAACTCCTTGGAAGTCTCTAGCGTTTGTTTGCGCTCCTCGTTCAAGTAGCAATTTTATAACTTCTGCATGTCCTTCTTTGGCTGCAAGGTGTAGTAGTGTATAATCACTGTGACATTTTTCCTCAATGTTAACTTTCGGAGTGTCCAAGTCCAATAGCATTCCCAAACACTCAGTGTTACCAGAAATGGCTGCTAAGTGCGCTGGGCTTCGGAACCTTTCGTCTTTTTTTAGTAAATCAGCATTTTTGCTTCTTAGTTTTTCAAGAATTTGAGCATTTCCTTTAGTGACTGTAATTTGCACAGCTTCATCGTCAATTACGAAATCTTCTTGCTCCAATAACCACAATGCCAAGTCAAAATGTTTTCTTCCTATGGCAATGTGCAATGGGCCAATGCCGTCGCTGTCTTTTAAATTTATGTCCGCCCCGTGTTGGAGAAGCATGTTGCAGACGTTAAAATGATTTGTTGCAGCTGCAAAAAGCAAAGGAAATTTTCCAACTTTTGAAGTTTGGTTAATATTGCCCGTGTGCAGAGAAAGTAAATATTCAACACATTCCTCGTGGCCATAGTAGCATGCAAACATCAGTGGCGTTTCTAGAAGGTCATTTTGCTGATCTAAATTAATTCCCTTCTTTTGGCATGCCTCGAGCACTTCAAGGAACCCAAGTTTTGAACTTTCAAAAATGACGTTAAATCCATTGTATTCCTCACTGACATTTAAATTATCGCATGTTAAAAGAGTATGAATAGCTTGTTGTGAGCCCATTAGGAATGCGAGGCACAAGGGAGTTGTTCCGTTATTACTTTCTACGTTTACAACAGCTTCATTTTCCAAAAGTAATTTCAGAATATCAGTTTTTCCGCTTATAATGGCCATATGCAATGGAGTTAGCCCAAACAGGTCCTTATGGTTCACCATTGATTTATCTTGATGCAAGAAATGCTCAAGGATATTTGATTGGCCAAAGCGTGCTGCAAAATGGAGTAGAGATTTTCCGAAAATGCCTTGCTTCTGCATGAAATCAAAAGTTTGTGGGCTGTAAATTTTTTCAACGTGACCATTTTTCACCGCATTTTCATTTTCTGAAATGCTACTATCCATGTACATTTCAGGAGCATTTAAAACTTGAAAATCACTGCTAGATGGTTTGTTCAGGAACATCAATTTGGTCTCTATATACTCCTCAAATGATAAATCGAGAATATTACCACTTGAATCTCTTACTTCTAGTATGTAGTTTGAGTTCTTATACTCCTGATTAGGGTTGTTGAGAAAATCTTTGTATGGATTGCTTGTGTTTTCATTTTGTTGTTCTCGGCGTTTGATTCGGTGTTTATCTGCTTTATTTAGATTGATCCCTTTCTTTGTTAATGTTTCTTCTAGGAATTCTGCTATTTCACATTTTTGCAGCTGCTTTGCTAGAACAGCGGGGGTATCTCCATTGGCATTCTTCATTTCTAGATTGAGTTCTTGTCTTGAACAGAAAACCTTGACAATCTCAAGGTTGCCACAAGTAACTGCTGCGTGCAATGGTGTCGAGTCAGAGTTATCTTTCAAATTGATATTGGCTCCACTTGCAATCAGTATGTCTACAGCGTTCTTTAAACCCTTTTCAACCGCTATATGCAGTGCTGTTTTTCCAGCGCTGTTTGTTTCGTTTAAGAGTTTTTTTATTCTTGGTTGTGACAGCATGAATTCAAGGTAATCTGCAGTCCCTTTAGAAAGCATGTAGTGCAATACATTGTTTTTCTCATTGTCTGTGAAATCACCAAAAGAGCCATTTTTGAAGAGCATTGATACAAATCCAACGTGCGGAAAGTCAAACACGTGGAAAATAGGTGGTCTGCCCTCATTTGTGCACATGTTCACTTGTGCACCTTTTTCAATGAGAAACGCTCCGCACTCGAGTTGCGCCGTACTAGCAGCCACGTGCAGTGGTGTCCAACCGTTGATATCTTGTTCATCGACCTTAGCTCCCTTTTCAACCATTTGCTTTACACAGTCTAAGGCACCCTCCTTGACCCCTACAAACAATGCAGAGCCACGGTTCAAGATGCTCTTAAGAATTGATGTCTTGTTTACTTTTAGAAAATTTTCGTAGTCATCTTCTGGCTCCCGTCTTCGCGCAGCACTTGAGTCGCAATACAAATCAATCAGTGTTCTGATTGTGCTCTGATTGAAAGCTGAATCAAATGCTTCTCTGATGATCCGATCGTCTTCTTTTTTATACAAATCAAAAATGTATTCGGCGCAGTCTCTTTTCCCCCCTGAAATCGCGTTGTTCAGCGGTTCTCTAATTAATGTTTCATCAACAGGATGATCCTGCGGGCCTTTGTAATCAACACCTAACTCATTGAGAATTTTCATGACTTGCAGTCTTCCAGCTTTGATACATTCGAGGAAACAAGAAAACTCTTGGTTGTAGTATTTTTTGATCATTTTTTCTAGGTCATTTTTACTCTTGATCAATAACAGTGCGATATCTTCGTTTGAGCGACAAGCATAATAGAGGCATTCATGTTGTATCTCTTCAAACCATGCATTTTCTGACGGGTTGCTTTCCACGTATTGGTAAAATGCCCCAAATAGATTCGCAAGCCCTTCTTTGCAAATGACTAAAAGAATTTTTTGCTTCATTTCTTTTGCCAAGATATTCAGAGGTGGCAGTCTTGTGAGAAATTTCTTGCACTTTTCCTCATGAGTCACAAAAGCGTTATCTAAGAAAAGTCGAACCTGCCTAAAATTCACCTGAGTCAAGAATTCAATCAAGTCATTTTTTTCAAGCAGTGCCGTATCTAGATCCTCAAAGAACAGTTGTGACAAAAAATATTCTGTGTAGGTTTGGTGTTGAAATGATCTAATAGCTCCACTAGTAACAATCAACTCATCCAACTTCTCAACCTGACTCAATTCCGTCTTGTGAATTTTAATTTCAGAAACTTTTTTAGGCAACGCTACCAAGCAGGCAGCCTTACGAAGTGTTGCTTTTCTCAATTTGATCTGCTTACTGACGTGCGGTCGTTTTGTCATGTCCAGGTATTCGTAATTTTTCATGACGTATTTCAGTCTTTCGTTGAAAAAATTGTCGTAAATGTCATAGAGGTTGTCACTCTGCAAGTCAACAGCGATCATGTCGGCAAACAAATACAGGTGCAGCGGATTCTCCAATACTTCATTAGTGGATTTCTGCCTGTAGTTTTCTAGTTTTTGCCGTATTTCATCATCACGCAGAGAAAGCTTTGCTCTAAGAAATTTTATTTGATCTTTTTTCTTGAAGCCACTTAGTGAAAACTTAATTATGTTTGCTAGCTTCATTTCCTCTTCAAAATTTCTTGCCTCTTCAGGCCTTGCTGCTATCCACACGTGGAACTTGGTTGACAATTGCTGAACAATTTTCATGAGAAACTCTTTGTGCTCAGATTCAGTCATTTCGTCAATCCGATCAATCATCACAAAGATTTTTCCATTCTCGATCAATTCCTCCTGCGTTTTAGAGGCCAGTTGGTTATGTTGGGCTGCTAAAATTCGCCTCAAAAATTCAGTGCCGTCGGGAGTCTCGACCTCTTTTTCTAGCAAGCTCTCAAAATATTCGTAATGCTCCAAATCGGCTGCGTTGATTGTGACAATTTTAAATGACGAGAGTGAGTTCTGCAGTCGTTTGGACATTTCCTCCGTTGCTAGAGTTTTTCCCATACCCGACTGTGCACTCAATAGCCACAAAATTTTTGGTCTTTTCTCCGTTGCTGTCGTAATTTGCATTTTCATGGCGTCAAAGTCTTGAACCTTGCCTTGCATTTCAAAACTCGGCTGAATGTAAACATTTGCGCAACCTGGGAAGCTAACAAGGCAGGGAAGTGTAGTTGTAACTTGCGTCAAAAGCGGCGATTTATCTATTGGTGCGCTTCGAATAACTTTGGCCATTTCTGTTTGAATGCTGCCACCAGTTCTTAACTCTGGGCTACCAAAACCCTCTATGACGCCGTTTACAACTTCTGAAAAGGTGAGTTAGTTATAATTATAGACAATTATTAGTATAATTAAATTCAAATTATAAATAAATTATAATTTAATGAATGTTGTTGATAATAGTTTAAAATACCAGTTTTAATTAAAATTAAATTTAAAAAAATTAAAATAATATTTAAACATAAAATAATTAATACATAATTACTACTAAATAATTAAAGAACAATTAAAAGAAATGAAATTAAAAATAATATTACATATATTTATAAATATTAAAATTTTAAATTAAATTTTTTTTTTATATTGCAAATTTTTACCTTCTCCAATAGCAAGAAATGAGTAAATTCCTGCGTGGTTTGCGCTTGATATTTCAAATCTATCGCTCTATGTGAAAAATTAAAAATTAATTTATAGAGTTACTTAACGCAATCAGAGAATTAACCGTGCCATCCGTGAACTGTGGTCTCTTTAAGTCATCTAGCAAGAAAAAGAATTTTGGATCTCCTAAAAGTTTCCTGCTTTCAATCCCGGTGAACATTCTTGTTAAATTTTGTACTGGAACAATCGTCTTGCCTATATCTACACATATTTCCTTCTGGGTGGCCGTTTTAGACTCAATTATTGCACCCATAACAATGACCATCGTGCATATGTTTTCAATCTTCTCTTCACCGTGCGCAACTGTGACCAAAAAAACGTTGCAATTTTTTAAACTATTTTCTCGGCGTTTAATTATCCTTGCCTTTTTCTAAAGTGGGAATCAAGTTTTGGAGATGGTTTGTTTCAACTGTGAAATACAGATTCTGCAAATTTTCTTCCAGCTGGAACGAATCTCTAGCTTGGCTTTTGAAAATGTAAGCTTTGCGTTTGCTCCCAGGATTCCAACTGTAGTATTCAATTCCATCTATAGTTCTGATGTTATCCAGGTTTCCCGCTCTTCCATCCCGCGCAATTATCTTGGCAGGTTCATCCAAAGATCTGAGAAATTCCCCCTAAATTCATTACGATGGAAACTTTTATGAGCGCATTACCTGCAAAATGTAAATCTTTGGTGAGGAAAATATCGCAGTTCGCAAGTTTGGCCTTCGTTATGTGCACGAGTTTTTCCATCAATGTGGCGCTGCACTGAAGTAAGCAGCTCCAAGATATCCATGTCTCTGTTCAACCCATTCAGCACAAGGCAGAGGCTTTTTACCATCCAAGTGCCGTCGGAATCTCGGTTTGACGCCATCTCTAAATAAGTTAGATTAAAGATTTAATTTAATAATTTTTATAATAAAATTAATCTTTATTTTTTCTTACTTTCTGTGGTTGAATATACAACAATGAAATTTTTGCTATTTGGCTCTATGAGAAATCGATTGGCATCACTTGGTACAGGCTCAAATTTTTGATCTTCTGAACTGCATGTGTGGACAATTTGCTCTTCTTCAGTGCCTCGACACGGCTGAAATGTATAATAAGTAAGCGGATAATTTGTGGAAAAATCCAGCTACCCCAAGAAATACTGAAATTAAACAGTCTTTCAGGAAGCTCATTTCTTTAAGCTTGCCAAAAATGAATTCGATGTTGAAACTTTGGTATAAGGGTTTTCCGTCCAGTATTTTAATCTTTTCTTCAGTGTAAATTTCTCCATTTTCATCACCATGAGACAGAATAAAGAGGAAAAGCACATCTGGCGCTTTTTCTGTTCCGACAACTTCAAATTTTGTTTCTAAAGTTAATCAATATAAAATATTCTTTGAAACGCAAAATTTCAGTCATACCCGCGCTTTCCAAAAAGAATTTTTTCAGCGCTAAATCATCTTTGAAAAATTCCTGTAGCTCTTGTTTTTTTAAAGAGCCTTTTTCACAAAAAAGGCATCCGCGCCTCAGAAAAGTACTCCTCAGATTTTCCACGTCAGCCTCATTGCCAAGCCTTTCCATGTTATTTTCATGGCCTTTGAATGCATAGTGAATGACCAATGCCCAAGCGCTATCATCAGCAGAGATATTAATTAATTTCACATAATTATATCACCTGGAATTCATTGGAAATTAAACTAATATTCTTACGTTATGTCGGTGGCATCCTTATTTGATCCAAAGTAGCCAAGCACTGGCTTTAACTCCATCTTCTGCAAATCCTTGAAAATACACCATAGATAATAAGAATAATGTGGAAAAAATGGATTTAATTTACAAAAATGATTAAAAATTTTCATTTTGCACTTGAATGTCTTGAGTGAACGCAATAACTGTAAAATGTTTTATCAAACCACCAACAAGATAATTATGGCTCACACAGGAAATGGGTGATAAGTATTCAAGTGAACTTCAACAATAAGTAACAAGTTTATAATTCTTCTTGAAAACGATTACGGCGTCAAGAAGTCCTTACAAAATTTACTGTGTTTTTAATATTATGATATCATAAAGATTAAGTATTAAATGAAGCATTTCTCTTCTTTGAATTATTGAGAAAAGTGTATTCCAAAATACATCATGGTTATTTTTTTTTTATATTTATTTGACAAATAAACAACAGTGACAAATATATTAAATGTAAAACCTGTCTTCCAATTCAACAATGGATAAGTGTGGATTAGAAACAAAATAAATACTACTATGTGTCCTTACCGATCCTTCACAAATCCGGCGTCTGTAAAAAGCAGCTATTCCTTATACATAACAGACCTTTGGTTATCTTTATAATTAGCTTAAAATTTAAGCTTCACGTGAGTCACAAATTATATCAGCTTATCTATACAAAGGTTTGGTATTTAATAAAAGTAGAGCTTTAAATTTTCCAATTTTTAGATAAAAAGTGAATAATTTTTACTCTACGCTGTAGCTGGTATCAGTAAACAAGCTGAAACTGCCTCTCAAAACAACGACGGGTACTCCGTGTGCAAAATATTTGTGACGTAATTCGCAGTGCTCGCATAATGGCCAATGGGATTTTTGCGCGCAACAGTGAAAGTCATGACTCAATAAGGAAAAAGCGATATTGTGACTCATCAAATTTAATAAGGGCCAATTAGACAAAAGCCTTAAGAAGATTTTTTCTTTTGAATTTATATAATTTTTTTAATGGAATATAAACTTTAAATTCATTTGCAACAAAATAGAAAGTAATAAATTAATAATTGATTTTTGTGAAATAGTTGGAACTTGAGGAGACGTTCATGGCTATAAAATAAAAATTCAGCAAAATTGAAATATCACAAATCAATTTATTTTCAATATTGCAGATAATGCTTTCTGTATTTTATTAATCATTTAATAGGGTCGCATTCTGACCAGCACTTATTAATATCATTATGACAAAATAAAAATTATAAAATTTATGATAACTTGCTGAAATTATAATTAAGAAATTCCTTTATTCACATCCGAGACATCAACCATTGCGTGTAATAATCACGAAATCAATTGTCAAATTAAAAAATCATCCTTGCGTAATTCAGCTTTATTACATTTAAGCTTCAATATCAATGATTCCATTTTTCGTCATATTCGAAAGCATTAAATTTATTTTTACGTTAAATTGAATTATATTAACCTCATTCATTCTGCATGTATTTACAAAAAAACTCATCTGCTCAGTCGAAGAAAGAAAGCGTGAGTGCATTCTCTTGAGTCAGCAGGAAGATACTTTTCGTAAAAATCTTGTACAAACTCTTCAACCTTAAATCCAAACCTTTGGTACAAAATCAAAGCTGGGTTTGTTGCTGAGACGTGAAGCGTGACGTCTTTTCCCATGCACGTCTGTTGAACATTTTTTTTTTAAGATAAAATCTAAGATTGAATATTTTAAGAATACTTGAATAAGATGGTAAAGCATGAATGAGGCAATGCCTCCTCTTCTCCATTCAGGCCGCACAAACAGGAAGGAAATGTATGACTCGTTCATGCCAGTGTCAGGAACCAAGAAAGCAAATCCGACAACCAGTTTTTTGTAAAGAGCCACACACGAAAAGTCCGGATATTGCAGAGTCTCCGTAACTGAGTTATGAATCAGGTAAGGGCATATTTTCATATTTTATGTCTCCTACCATCTATTCCTGGCCAAAAATTGTCTCGGCAAAGGCTGTTGATTGCTGGGATGTGCTGTGGGCGGACGTAGCTATAGTCGAGGGTCTCTTCAACTCTTGGTTTCCACAAAGGATTATTTTTATTGGCTTTTGCCATCAACTCCCTCATCATCTTAATCCATTGAAATTTTGCGCAATTTTCCTTCATAATGAATGGTTTCAAGGCTCTAAAAAAGCAAACGAGAAATTAAAGGGAGAGAAAAATAGACCGAAAATTACCTTTCAGTGAACGGACTGATAAAAGTGGTGGGTTCAATTTTACCCATGAGCCTCAACATGAATGAAGGATTTTTCTGACCTAAACTCTTTAGACGAGCGTTGCTAACCTGAGACATATGAACATTAATGCCGAAGAAAAACAAAGAACTGAAAATTTACGCTAAATCTATCCAAAATCCTGTCAAATTTTGGATCCATGGTAAGTGATGGGTCTGAAAATGTGTATCCAATCAAAGAGTAGGAAAGGTTGAAAAGCGGCTGCCCATTTTTCCTTTGCAAATTTCTCACAACCAGTTTCCTGTAAAGTCTGCGGCTCTCGCTGGTCGGCAACGGCCCTGCCCTCTCCAGTCGATGCATCAGGTGAACCTCCTCGTACTGCGTCATGGGCCTACAAGCTTTTGTCTCAGGCAGAACATCTTGCCGAGACTCAACTTCTAAATATTTAAATGTAAACCTTTTGGTCACAAATTTCGATCAAAAAAACAAACCATCAGAATCTGAGCTCTCTTGTGGTTCCAAGGGAGTCACTGGCTGGCTTTCAATCTCAGATTTGCAAGTTTCATTGAAGAGGGATAAAATGTTCAAGGCAGGTTCAGGATCAAAAATCTTTTGTGGAATGGCAGATGGATCAATTTCCATATCGATGTCAACCTCATCCTCTTCTAGTAAAATTTTTGGCAAGAACGAAGGTGTTGGATCTATAGTAATTGATGTTGTAGGAACAGGGGTTGTTGACTTTGTGGGCTGAAAAATCAGTTTAAAGTAAACAATATATAAATTTAAAATTTGGCATATTTGCTGACCTCGGTTTGCTTTGTTAGTACTGGCTCTGAAAATTGGTAAAAACAAATTAAGCCCTTGAATTTGAGGTTTTGTTAATTACTTTTAAGATTTGAAAGGTAAAGAGGGCTGAGATCAGGTTCTAAGAGGCGCCACCAGCCTTGTTCACCAAGTGCCGCCGATCCACTTTCGAAAATGTGTAGGTTGCTGGTCAACTTGCTCGAAACTATTGCATGCAGTGTTCGGTTTTTCTTTCTGAAATTAAGAAAAAGCAAAAAGATAGAAAAAAAGCAAATGTTGCATTAATGCAGACTCACAATCTTTGCGGAAACAGATATTTCCATTTTTCGTCTATGATTTTTGTAACATGGTTTTTGTAGTGGAAAAATCCTCTCCGACTGTGGCAAGTGTATTGGCGGTGCAGGTTGTACATCACCAAAATAACAACGTTGAGCCTGTTTAATTAATTTATCAAATGAGTTTTAAATCCAATACATTATAACCAAAAACTTACCACATATAATTTTCTCTTAAGAGCTCGTCCTGATCGCTTTGCGAGCAAGAACCGCAGGTAAAGGTGAAAAACGCATCGCCGAGGAAGACCGCTGTGGGGCTGTTGATGCAAGTGAGGTGACAGGCCAAGCCGCATGCATTGCATTTCAGCGCCGCCGACTCCTTCGTTTCCAACTTCGAACACCTTGAACACGTCGCAAATTCGTAGTCGCTCATCTGTAAAGAGGTTAAAAAAATTATAATTTCGAAGCTAAATTCATCAGCGGATTCTTACCCTTGCTGTTTGTTTACTTTTTTCCTTCACTTTCACTACTTCTCGACTACTGCGCTCTGATTGGCTGTTATTCGATGGATTTTTAAAATTGACCAATCAGCATTTACGTTGAATTTTGTCAACACAGGCACGTGTGTTTTTGGCGCAGACACCTGGATTTCATAAGCAGCGAGCAAAAATGCTTGATTTTCCTGGTTTTTGAGACAAAACGAGATTTAAATACGAGTAAATTTATAATTCAATATACCAAAAATAGGTTCATTAATGATTTCATTGCAGGAGAGGAGTAAAATGGCAGGCAAAAGTTTAATCCACACTTCCATTGCTCGCACCCACGGCAACATTCAGCGCTTTGAGCAGAACAGCGATGAACTGCGGGAACATTTGTACAAGTTCGCCCTCATTCCTTGGTCAGATGGCTTCCGGTCTGTGTGCGAAGTCACCAGAGACCCATTTCTGCACCCCGACTACTGTCAATGCGACAGAACCGTTTTTGACATTTCCACCATGCAAACTGGCAGTGATGGGCTGCCCATGAAAATTCCTCCACACCAGCCAATATCAAGCGTGGAAATAAGTAAAATAAAAGTTTTAGACCAGCAGATCAAAACGGTGGCCAACGCCAAAGTGTCGGTGATATTCGACAGTGCCGAAAGTGCTTCTTCGTGGAGAGCAGACTTGCCTGCCTTTGAAAATATTCTCCTTTCTGTTCTAAGCATGAATTTGTTCTACGTAACTCAGCACAGTTTAGTGGACGTTGAGGGCCTTGATTTGCACAACATCAAGTATCTTGTTTTCCACTGCAACAAGCTGAATGGGTGCTTGGCTAAATTTTCAAAGAACAGTAAAATTTCTGTGAGGAATGTCATCGACATTGGTTCTTACTCAAAAGTTCTCTCAACGAAAAATTACCAAGTTGCCCTCGGCTTGGAAGCTCCCTTTGAGAAGTTGAACAATCTTGTCCGAGATTGCCTTAGAAATGGAGACGAGGATAGAAAAAATAACAAAGTAATACAAATTAATTTAAAATTGACTTTGTTCTTTTCTAAAACTGTTCTTTTTTTTCATAACTTCAGGTCTTAGTTTCTGGTCCTTCAGGCTGCGGAAAAACGGTCCTTGTGGAGCACCTGTGCCAAAGAAATAACCTGAGCTTGATCCAAATTTCTGGCGGAACCTTTGCCGAGTCCAAACCCGGAGAGGCAGAGCAAAAGTTGAGAAGCATCTTTGAAACAGCAAAGAGGCTAACACACTGCGCCATTGTAATTGACCAAATCGAAGCAGTCTGCCCAAAAATCAATGACACAACCCAGAGTCATTCTCGACGACTTGTGAAACAAATGGCTTCTTTGCTGGACGAATATTTGCATTCAGTTTTTGTCGTCGGCGTCACATCGAAGCCTGGCAATGTGGATCCGTCCATAATTCGAGCTGGACGGCTCGAACACGAAATTTCTATTGGTCCCCCAACTGAGAAGGAAAGGGAGATCATGTTGAAAAACCTGTTGTCTAATTTTATTAAGGTACAGAAAAAAAATTTCAGTTTTTACAAGAAATTAATTACTAGATTTTTAGGATTCCAATTCTGTAGAAAGTTTTTCCTCCGAGGCCGCAAAAGTGACCCCAGGTTATGTCCTGGCTGACCTGTCCATGCTCGCCAGGGAGACTGCCCTTCTGAAGACAAAATTGCCACACAATGATTGGCACTCAATATTTAAATGTGCCCTTGCTGGAATGAAACCAGCGTCTCTACGAAGTGGCCTAGGCGTCGTCACAACAGACCCAATGTCCATCCAGCAGATTGGTGGATTGACGGAGATAAAAAAGAAGTTGAAAATTCTGATTGAGTGGCCTTTGGTCCATCCTGAGGCGTTTGAACGCATGGGTATACCCAGACCTAAAGGTGATTAATTATTTTTCAAGATGATCAAATTAATTGAATATATATAAAATCAGGTGTTCTGCTTTATGGGCCTCCAGGATGTGCCAAAACATCTTTAGTCAAATCGATTGCAACCATGACTGGGAAATCATTCTTTGCCGTGTCTGCTGCGGAACTCTACTCGTCTCTTGTTGGCGAGTCTGAAAAAAGTGTGGTCGCTTTATTTAGAAAGGCAAGATCTGCTGCTCCAGCCATTCTATTCATTGATGAAATAGGCAAGTTTATTTGCTAAGATGAATTAAAATCATTAATTTTTTTTGGCCTCTTTATTTTCAGATGCACTTGTTGGTCACCGAGGTGGGGGCCAGATACAGACTGGAGTGCAAGAACGAGTTCTGGCCACAGTTTTGGTTGAAATGGACGGTTTAATTGCACCCTCGAGTGAAGGTGGAGTCCTCATTGTAGCTTCAACAAATAGACCCGACTTGGTTGATGCTGCCCTGCTGCGGCCAGGACGTTTTGACCAAATAATTCATGTTCCTGCTCCCGACTTTGAAAGCAGAAAGTCGATATTGGTGGCAAAGTCCTCTTGCATGGCAGTGTCACCAGATGTCGACTGGAATGCGATTGCCAGGAAAACCGAGCTTTTCTCTGGAGCTGATTTGCAGAACTTGTGCCAAGAGGTATTTTCTTATTTTAGTTAAATTTAGCCAATTATCATATTTTAAATAGGCTGCCTTGCACGCCCTCACCATTGATGGGATGGAAGTGGAAGAAGTTCAATACAAACACTTTGAGTTTGTTTTGCAGAATATGAAACCGTCATTGTCGAGTAAATGCCTAGATTGGTTTACCAAATACAAACCAGGACACTAATAAAAATGTGTTTTTATCAAATTTATTTATTTATTTCCTCTTATTGAACCACTTGTCGGAATTATTTGTGCGCTCCCAGTTGCGCCTCATTTTTGCTTTCTCGATGGGCTTATCACGTGGTGCTTTTTTCTCCTTCCTCAGTCTTTCCCACTCCTTTTGATGCATCATGTACAAGCTCATGGCAGCTTTGGCATCCTCAATCTTTAAAAATTCAATTAAAACTCGACACATAAAATTATTAAAAACTTACAGAGTCATGCTCGCCAGTTTGAATTTTGATTTCAAGAAGTTTTTCGGCTAAAAACTTGAGACTGGGTTTTCCTGATTTTAATTGTTTGAATGGCTTGTACCTGAAAAACAGTTTTATTTTTAAGTTAATTACTTTGCACAATAATTCCCCAAACTTACTTGGAAGTGTCTCTGATTCTGCTATGAGGGTGACTGAGTAACAGGACTTTCATGTCGTTTTTGATGTCGTGCCCAACCAAAATCCTCTTGTCAATCAAACCAGCCACTTTCTCCTGTGCCTCCTTGAAGTCGGCTCCTTCAAATTAACAAATATAAACAAATGAATTTTTTAGTTATTAAAAAAACATACCTGTTTCCAAATCAGATGGTCGAACTCCGGAGTACTGAGTTCTGTAATCAGTGATTGGCTCCAAGGGCTTCACAAATGAGTCGTACAAAACCTCATTGAACTTGTTGACCACAGACACTCTGGCTAGAAGGTTTTCTCTTCCGTTGTCTCCACCTCCGACCATCTCGCAGTCAAGGGCAACCACATCTGTTATACTGAAAAATTAAGCAATAAATAAAATAGTCGATGCAAATTGAATAATACTTGTTGGAAAATTTATTTGGTTTCATCTTTTCCAAGCCGGCTTTCCCACTTTTATTCAGCTTCTTAAAATGTGGTTTGACAGGATCCTTGGCTAAGATCTAAAAAACAAAATAATATGTATTATTTGGATCTTTTAAAAAATTAGTGCAAATTTTTACTGTTTTAAAAAGAAGCCAGTTTTGTGACGGCTTTGATTTCTCGCTGGAGGCGAAGTTCATGGACTGTTCTTTGGGGTTTTCATGCTTCTGCTCATCTGGTGTCACAAGTTTTGGAGGGATTCGCTGGTGAGATTTCATTTTATTGACCCTTTCTTTTGCCTTCAGCTGCGTCTTTTGAACTTCAGAAAGCTTTTTATCGTCTTTCAGGGAAACTCCTAAAATCAAATACAAAGTATAAATTTTTGTACAACCAATGAACACATAAAAATTGTAACATTCAAGGCAAAACAGCAAGTTTTTAAATGTTTTGAAATACATAAAAAAAAGAAGAAAAACATGTAGAAAACCAGCCTCTTTTAGATTTTGCCATTCTTCGACTGCCTGAGTGAAGGAGTTAATAGGAATAATTTCCGCCGTGAAAGAAATGTTCTGAAAATTTTGCGTTGTGTTGTTGTAAACACGTGTTATTGATTGGGGCACGAGAACCATAACAAAAATAAAACAATAAAATAATGCTTATAGGCAGTCAGGTAGTGACATCTGTATTTCTAATCCAGCACTCAAAGCGTTGGTAACTCGCTCGGCAGACAAAATACAAAACCAAGGTACAAAACACTGCACCTGATGTGCACCGATATAAATGTGAATAAAAGATAATAATGCGATTAATGTTAAAAGTGAATAAAATGATAAAAGTAAATGAAACAAATCTGAAAAATGTGTTCTAAATAATAAAATATACCTAACACTTGTTAAAATATCTTTATAATTCAATATAGTTTTTGCCCATTTGATGGTGTAAATTGTGAATAAATATATACTTTTATGCATGTTATTATACGCGGTTAGTGCTTAAATGAAGAAAATGAAAATAAATTTAAATAAAAAAATAGCAAAAAGTACATACTTTAACTAAATTTGAAGTGATGGATCCGTTTAACGTTTTGCCGGATTAAGAGGGAATTATTGTGAATTAGTCATCTCAATGATCTTATCTCTCAAAAAATTTTTAAGTTTGGATGTAATTCAAAACCAATAAATAACTGGGAATGATTTTTTTTTTCTAATTTACTGAAAAATTTAATTTAAAAAAAGAACTCATTAATATTTGAAATAAAATATTAAGACTGTTAGAATATTTAAATATAAATAAATAACAATGCACATTTTCAAGTCATTACTTTTTGAAATAATTTTAAGTTTAATATTGAAGTTATTAAATTAAATATTAAGTATTTAATTAAAAAATTTAAAACAATAATTGATAATAGATTGAAAATTATAAAAAAGTACTAAATAAATTTTTAATCTTGTAAAAAAACTTACTATTTTGTTGTTAGCTTGAATAACGTATAAGTGGGTATTGTATCAGGGACTTACGAATTTTCGTTCTGTTATAATTTTTGTTCACTAATATACCAGTCGATCTTTGTAGAAGGTTCTTGAAATTTGATTCTGAAATTTGACTCCTTTTGCAGATTAACGTGAAAAATATTGGGTGTACTTCTCCTTTAAAAAAATTGCCGCGGAGTGACAGTTTTTTCCACGAAGCTAACAAAAGATAAGAATTTTTAATTTGATTAACTTCCGATTTTTATTTTGCACACTTAAATTTATGAAAGAGAAATCCCCAATGATTTCATTTTAGTTTTGGGCTCCATTAACTTGACGTTTGACGATAAACAAAGGATGCAAAAGCGCCAGCGCGCTTCGTCTTTTGTCATTTTCTACTGGCGTCTGATTGTATTTTTTTTTTTTTTTTTGCCACTACTGTAAACCGTTTTGTTGATATTTCTATCTCTTTCTGTATCAATATGTGTTGTCAGCGCGGGAGATGAAGCAAATCAAATGCATTTGTCACCTGAGCTGCCGCCGACCGAGAGAGGAACCAGGAAATAATGCCCAAGAAAGACATACCAATTCGAAGGGAAAGGTTCATCAGCCTCCAACATGATGCACACTCTCATGTGTCGCGTGCATCACAAATTCAAATTACATATTGAACCTTTTTTCTGCTCGCCACAGAGCGACGAACGATCCGCGCGTGATTCTCACGTTTTTGCCGCCGATGCGACGTGAAATTCGGCGGCTCAATTACCTCTCGATTGGCAGTTTATTTGCTTTTAATTCTATTAAAAAGACCAAGCATCCTTTTGTAACAAAAAAAAAAAAAAAAAATCACGTGATCTGTAGACTGTTGATATGAATAATAAATTATACGCTATTTTATGCGCCATAATATCATGCAAGGTCATGATAGAATTATATTATTTACTTAAAAAATATACAAAAATATTCGGAATGATAATTTTTAGCACCCAATATTTTTTATATATTTAGGAAACAAAAATCGTAATTCATAATCAGTTAAAATAAATGTCAAATAAATAATTTGAAAAAAAAAATTAATTATATTATTTTTTCTTTAAATCATGTTCATGATTATTCTCTATGGAGCTCACTAAAATTTCTGAATAAAATTATTAAATATGCATTCAAAGGTCTTCAAATGTGTCACTTTAACTTTCTTCAAACTACATTAAAATCAGAACTATTCTAAGGAAATAAATAAATAATTGGGAATTATAATTTTTGTTTTTCCACTTTCATAATTAAAAACGTGCTAAAATGATGAATCAAAAACAATTTGAATCAATTAGGATTTTAAACAACGATGCTGTTGTTGTTACACATTCAATTATAAAACAACAGTAATTTTATTGCCATTTGTATTACTTTTCTCTCAACAAAAATTTGGACCTATTTTAAAAAATCCGTGAGAAAAAATCAGAATTTTGACATTGTGAGAAAATGCTTCAACAAACTTCTTTATATGATATTTATATCCTATTATTCTTGAAAGGCAAAAAAAACCACATCAGGTCATTAAAAATGAAATGGTTGAAAAATATTCTCCCACTGGAGACTACCAATGGTCCCTGCTTTTACGGAATTTCGCACAAAGAGCGGACCCTCTGCTAAATAGGCATTGATCGCAAAATTCAATTTAAACAAGTACACATGCGAGGTCGAAATTTAATTGAATAAGTTTTGTATGAATATCTCGTTGCGAGAAGAGTTTCCTTTAAGCATTCGCTACACTTTTCCGCTTGAAGCAAAATTGCGCGGCGCGGTGCCATTGAATCTGCATCAGAGTTTCAATCGAACCCGATCGGCGCGCCGAACAAACAAAACGATTTCTATAAAAGGCTCCATTCCGAGAAGCGATTCATCGCAGCCAATTTCCACACTCGATTTTACACTGACAATATCACCCAGCTTTTAATAACGCCTCTGTGTGCCCAAGGAAGTTTTTATGCGCGACTCATCTCATTGGTTTTTTTTGCGCTCTCCGCCGATCAATCGACGACAGCAATAAACAAAATAAGAGAGCGAGAGTAAATGATGCTCCGCCGCCGACAATCGCGAGTCAAGGACGGCTGTTTTTTGCCCCCGGAGAGGAGAAGAAGAAGCCTGAAAATGTGGTCTTTCCCTGGGAAAAAGTTTTTTCGCCTCGCAGGAAATTTTCCTGAGCAAAGCACGTGTGGGTGAAGTACTGTCGTTCGCAGCCAGCGATGCGGCCAATTTTTCGCTGCCTGATCAAGCATTGCGCGCCATTATTATGCGTCATAAATTCACATTTCTCACGAAAATTTCGCACCCGCTTCAACAGAGACACTCGAGGAAAATCATAGCAAGTAAAAAATGGTCAAAGAGGATGTTCAAAGTGGTGTAAAAATTGCAGCAACTATTGAAAAGCACAGAAATCTTCACCCTTTTTTCGTTCAATAAAAAAAAAACATGGTTAAAAATCATTGAACAAAATAGATTAACTTAACTGGATTCTTTTTAAGAAAATAGTTGCAGAAATTATTTTATTGAAATGTACTATTTAATAAGAATTAATTAAATTTAAAAGTTTTTGTTCGTGGTTTTGAAGTTAATTGATTTTTATTTGGAATTTGAACTTTAATTTATTTCAAATTGAATTATATAGTCACATATTAGAAAGGAGGGAAATTTTTATTACAAAGGAAAACATTATTGAGGTTTCTTAAATATTTTTTTTTTCACATTGCGCAACACACAAGTTTGATCTTTGTCAATTTCACTTTTTCTCCTAATATGGCTTTTCAGCTGTGAAAACTCTTTGCCCGCGAAGTCAAAGAACACCGAAGAAGTTAGTTTTTGCTTGACTTGCCAGTAGGCTTCATTGGTTTTATAATTAATTTAAGTCGGCAAAGATGCACTTTTTCGTAGCACCAAGGTCAAGTTTGATGCGGCGGCCACCTGAAAAATGCCTCTGCTTCATTGCGTTTGAGAAATCCTTTTCGATTGCAGGTGGCAAATCGCGTCTTTTATGTCCCAATGGATATCTGAATGCACTCGTGAGCAGGTGCAAAATCATATCCTATGTCAAAAATACCAGAATTTGTCGTTGGGTTCACATTATAAATACAAAAATCTATTTACCTTTTTATAATTTTCTTTGGGGTTTTAAATTTATTAAAACAAAAAATATTTAATTTAAAAACTAAATTAATATAATAAATATGTAAATAAATAACTAAATGAGTATTTAGAAAAAAACTACATGTTTAAAATAAATTAAAATAAATTATTTTAAATAATATAAACAAATGCAATGCGCAAATTAAATTCTATACTTGTAACTATTTTTTTTAAAGATATAAGTTACAACTTAAGTTAAGCTAACTCCAAGTTTTATGTGACTGGCGAGCAAAGCAAATCCAATCATTCCAGTATTATTTTAAAATTTGAATTAAATGCGTTGAATGAAATGGCCTGAAAATTTTTTAAAGAATAAAAATTATTTGCCAACAAAAGATGGTACTTTTTTTAGTTTCCTTTAGTCTCATCTTTTATAATTTTCCAGCTGCAAAAACTTTTGTTTAATGAATACAATTTTTGCAAAACAAACCCCCAATTAATCCAATTATAGTCAAACTTAGTATAGGAAAAAAGGATTAATTAGTTTGGCGGAACAGAACATTTCCTTGGCGGCACGGACTGCGAAACTCTTACAGCAAGGAACTGCGCAAACAAAAGCAGCGATTTTCTGCTTTTCTCGCATCCTTCGCTGCGCACACATGAAGCGAAAGTGAAACGAAGACAAGCCGCGGAATGCACGAAGCCTTTAGTGCGGGTGGCCGTTGCTCCTCGTGTGTTGTTGTGTGCGCGAATCATTACACGCCAACTCATTATGCACCGCATTAAATGCACAACGGTTCCGTTAGTCGGAGGAAAAGCAGAAATCGAAAGAAAGAAAGAATGCAAAGCGAAACAAAGTGTTCGCCAGCGAGTGCGACAAATAATTGGACGCGGTGCTGCGATTTTCTCTCATTCAATTTGGGTGCGTTTGAGAGGGAAACGCGCGCTGGTCGCTGCCCTAGACGATAAGGCACACCGCGTGCGATTCGACGCGCCGCAATTCAATTTGCACTGGTCTGCTGCCACGGCACCTACTCAGATTCATCTGCAAGTGTTGTGCAATTCATTATCTGATGTTAATAACCTGCAAAAAATGTAGGCGATAGCGCCGATAGCCCATTTTTTCCTAAAAATAAAAACAAAAATTTAATTTTGAGGGAAAATTATTGAATTAAAAACTGCTGGAATACAAAAATAATTGATTGAATATAAATTTACACTAAAATTTATGTTTCTTTAAATGGCTTTTTAATTAATCTTCAGTATGTTTCAAATTTGATCTATAAAAAATAAATAAATAATGAATTTAACGATTAAATTAATTTTAAAAAGGATACATGATTCAGTTTCAATTTGTTATTAACAATCATTAATAATAATGTCAATATTAAAAACTATTATAAAATCTGATTTAACTTAATGCCAGGGAAATAATTATTAGAGCTCTGAAATTATTGAAATTGATCAACACTAAAAAAATGTAGCCGATGGAATATTTTATTATTGGAAATCATTGTAAAAGATGACAGGAATCAAAAGAAAATAATTTAAAACCACTCATTCCAGGATATAAAAAGGAAGCTATTAAAAATAGAAATAAAACTCCAGGATAAAGAGCAGAGATTTGGCTTTATTAACAAACTCATGCAATTTCTATTAAAATTTTCTTTCGAAATAAGCGGCACTTTTGCCTATTTGGAGTTGCCGTCAAAAATTAAAATTCTAACTGCAACGTCTATGGAACTAAAGGTTGTTACTGCATCTTAAATGACAATTTTCCGTTATCCTCATATCCTTTATTACTTCTTTGTTATTAAAATAATAATACTAAAGGTACTTTCATGTAATTATCGCAACATGGGATGCTTTATTTTTATTTTTTCTCTCATTCTAAAAATACAAGTATAAGTTTATTTTTGCCATTCACTATGTTCCTGCTGACAGTGAATTTTTGCGTGTTGACCTTTTCCTTTCATCCTCGACATTGTATCATAAATTCCGTCGTTCATGGACTAGCATTTTAATATAATTGCAGCGGCAAGTTTAACAAAGCGGCCGTGATTTTAATTGTTCTCCGACAAAGTCAGTTAATTCGGCTGAGTAAACGCGTGTGCATCAGCTCAATAAATTTTGCGCGGCGCAATTTTCCTACTCCGCACAAGAACGCAAACTTTCACAGTCCTCACGCGTCCTTGCCAATTTCCATCATAATTTATATTAAAGGGTATCTCTCGCGGGTCTATTTCCGTCGGCCTTAAGCCGATGCACTCGTAAGATAAGCTCTGTGATAAAACAGGCAAAACGGTGTTCTTACATCGCCGCACTGACCTTAACTCTTTCTTTCTTTCTATCCCACGGAGAAGGCGCGCGCCGGCCACTAATTCATTATGCATTCGCTCCATTATCTATCTGCATTCAAATCGCCACTCATTTCAACAGCTGCGTGATACATCTATTTGAAAAAATGACGATAATTTTGTAGCAGCTATTTAACGCAATAATTGAGAAATTAATGACTATTAATTGCTATATATAAAAAATAGCTTAAAAAAATATAAATATAATTGTAATAAAAAATGTATTAAAATGTTATTTGATGTAGTTTTAGCTATTTTTTTACTTTAACAATAGTCAATAATTTTTCATTTTTTGCGTTATTAGCTTCTTAAAAATTTTTGTCATTTTTTCAAATTCATAAATAATTTGTTAATTTTATGTTTTTAAAAAAATTCAATTTAATTTGAAAATTTAAATTAATATTGTTATTCCTGTCAACTCAAATGAACACCATATTATGTGTTTTCCATGAGATAATGGAGTGTTGAGCTAATAACATGATGTAAAACAAAATTAAAATGGACATATCTGAATAAATCTATTGATTTCACTGATGGATCCCTTAAACAATTACCAGTGCAGGGATTACGTTGAATTATGAGAAAATATTTTGAATTTTTGATTTTTCCTGCAATGGACACTTTTGTTTTTCATTGCGGTTTCCGGCGCGGGCTGCAAGACCGGTGATTTGGTTGATTTTCCGCCACTAATGTGCTCGCTCGCGGTTCTTTGCGAGTTTTGATGCTGGTTTTATTTGGAGGCGCCGCATCGGTCTTCTTGATTTGCTTCGTTTTACTTGTGTGTTTACGCCCAGATTGTGGGTTGTTGGTCTCGAAGCATGACGTTTCAATTCGCAGAGACGACTTCCCTTTCGTTCCGTATGTAACAACATTAATTCCCGTACACGCGTAACAACAAAAGAGAGAAATGAAAAATCGCTAATGGAGAACTTGTCCGGCGCAGGGCAGTTCCGAGCGAAACAATTTCGCCAGATTTTATCCTTGGTATGCTGAGGCGATTGATGAGGGGCCTTGATTGTGTTGCTTGGATTCAACGCACAATTAATTCCGTGAGCAAGCCCGACTTTTCGATGTGCACATATTTTGCGTGAATACCTAATGTGCTCCTTTTTCCTTTTTGTTCTCACAATTCTTTTGCTGGTCAAGAAATAATAGTCATTTTTTTAATAATAGATTTTGTGGGGTCATTGATTTTTTTGGAACAATTGAATCAAATAATTGAGCATTATAAAAATTTGTGCAACTCTTTCAACTTTATTTCATATATTTTTTCTATTAAATATATAAAATAGCATGAATTATTGAATAACCAGGCAATTATTTTTGCTGTTCTTTTGTCCTCATTATTACAATCAGATTTAATTACTAAAAACAATTTTATTTAAAATTAGGGAAATTTGTGACAGATACCACCATATACTATCAAGAATTTTGCTAAAACTTCGAAGATCCAAAAGACTCCATCCGATTTATTTATTTCACTAAAGAATTTTAGCCAAAATAAAGCCTACACTATAAACAAAGAAATTAATGAAATATTTGTGAAGTTTAATCAGAAATTCACACAAATTAATTAATTATCAAATATTAAACAAAGATTGTTCTAAATTTTAATAAATAAATTTGAAGAAAATACCTTAATGGTGAGTCTATTGTTTACTTTTTGCACCAAAGTGCTGGCTTATTTTTGATGCAGGTGAAGGTCGCTGGGCCTAATTGTTGCTCATTATGTAATGGGAGTGAAATTTTTTTATTGTATACTACGTGAATCCTCGTGCCGCCCGTGGGAAAAGACGTTTACGATTCTGCTATTTAGTTTCAGTTTTGTCGAAACCGAGAGCATCCTTTGCTTTCATCAGCCGCACACAGTGAGAGATAATTTTATTGTGAAATTTGTTTGCTATTTAAAAACTAAGAAGTGCTTAATATAAAAATGACCTTTTCGGCACCCAATGTCACCGGTCCAGATTAAAAAAAGTCGACTTTGAGCGAGTTCTGTGAAAAATGGAGATGACAAAGGAAAATTCACAGCAATTGAATTTCCTGTTGTTATCTGGACCTCGTCGTGATCATTTGCATACTTTTATCAACAAGGGAAGTTTGGATATGCAAAATCTTCAAAAGATTTTTGTTCGGAAGGATGTATTAATTTCCTTCAACCAATTACGCAGGGAGACCTCGCATCTTTCCTGCCGACCTAGTGCGCCTCTCGCTCCTGATTAGCATTGCAGATTCAGCTGAGATTAAACACAGTGCAAAAATTTATTGCCTCAGTTTTTAATAAAATGACGGAATAAGAGGCGCATCTAATCACAAAGTGCAATTTGTCATGATAATTATTGCAACAAAGGTTGAAAAACTCGATCAGCATGCAATTTATTTTTTGTCCATTTTCTTGAGATGAAATTTACTTAAAAAAACCGCAAAGTCACACCTTTAAAATGGAAAGTTGCCATTTTGCTCAAAATTTTATCGCCAGCAGTTCTCCTGTAATTTAACATTAATTAGAATTTAGAATGCAAACGTACGCGAATCAAATTCAGACAATTTGCTTGATGTAAAGAGCCTTCTCTGAATTATTTTGAATCCTCTTGTCATTCCCAAGCAGCAGAGATTCTTCATTCGCTTGGTTCCGGCCATGCTTATTATCACCGACTTATTGGTTTTTCCAAAGTGCCAATTTGAGACTCTTATTGGCCGGACTTGCAATTCTTTTTCAAATGCATCAGTTAAAAAAAAATACACAAGTACACAACAGTTCATAAAAAAATTATACTTTTTTTTTCAAAAGTTTAATTTCAAAAATTAAAAAAACAAATGAAATGACTCTATCTTGGATCTGTGGATTGAATTAATCTTGCTTATTCAAACTTCCCAAAAGATTATATTATATCTATTTCGAATATATTGTTTTCCTGTAAAATTAAAAAATAGAAAGCGGAATCAATTTGTTTAAAAAAAATCTAGACAAATATTGTGACGTTATTTTAAATTCAAGTCAGTTTCACGTTAGATTTTATTTCAAATAAGACGTGACTAAATAAATTGGTTAACAAGTACTACGGATTGATAGATATGCAACCCGCAAGGACGGCTGCCGGCTGCATTGCTGCCCCCGCCGCCCGCCTCCAGCGCTTTGCACGGCGGAGGCTGCGTGGATTGGTGGTCACGAAGCGCGTCGCAGATAAAACTGGTGTGCAAGGGCTACCGAGTGTCAGTGTGTTCGTCGGCAAGAAAGACGTTTGTTTGCAGCGCGCAGAACGAGCCGTGCCTCCGCCTGCCCGGAGGAATCGTCGTCTTTTGCCACAGGTGAGTTCCCACTGTCGCATGTCGCGCTGAAGTAGCCTTGCGGTACATCCGCCGCCGCCGCCGCAGATCATCTCACTATTTCGCGGGTTCCGTTTTCGGCATTCGGCTTTGCGCGTTTTACCAAAAATGTTTGTTTCGATGGGAAACAGGTCAAATTTAATTACCAATCCGTGCGCTCAGCAAGTAAGGAAAAATGTCACATATTTTATAAACACTTAAAAAACCATGATACAAATTAAAATTTGTTTTAATTATTAAAAGTATAAAAAATACAAATATACATTTTAAGTATTTAAACTTTTATTAAAAAACAACTACATGCATTTATTATTTTAAATTTATTTTGCTGTGTTTATTTAATACGTTGAAATCATTTTACAATTTTTACCATTTGTATTCAAAAGTTTTTATCTTTTATACATATTTTCACTCATATTGAGAAATTAGGATAAATCTAATAAATTAATTTAATGTTATTACCATGTCAGGTTTCCTAATTTATTAGATTGTATCCAAATTGATCGTTTTCATAAATCAATATATGATTCCACGTTAACTTATAGACTTGATTTGAACCAAAAACCCTTTTAATACACAAATGCGATTTAACACTGCAAACAACAAATTCTGTTTCAGGCGCCCAACCCCTAATCACGTGCCATGTTGCTGTTGTACACATTCGTTTTAGCTTCATTCGCCTTCCAGGTGAGTAACAAGCGTTTTTCTATGGAATATTTTGTATAACTTGACCAATAGACGATTAAGACTCGTAATTACCAAATTTGATCAACGTGCTCTTGAAAACAAATAGCGTAGAAAATTGCGATGCTTTTACTTTTTGGGGTCTTACATTTTTGTGGCCGCTGAGTTGGAAAACGAGGCCCAAGAAGGTCGAGGGTCATCTTCGGGCCAACAGGTGCATGACAGTAGGTCGCTTAATACGATGTAGTTTAGGTTTATTTGTGGCTTTGGATAGTTTGCTTTGATAGAAGAGCATGAAATTTTAATGGGAAGTTAGTTGTAGTTATGCTTATAAGCTTATTTGCTTATAAATACATTTAAATACTATAATTGGAAACAAGTAGTGAATGTGATATTAACAAAAAATTAAAAACCAAATTTAGGGTTTTTTTGCAAATTATGTTTTTTTATAAAGAAAATAATTCTGAGAATTTATTGGTTTGGCCTACTTTTGAAAACAAAAATATTAATTAAAACGGCGTGTTGACTCCTCTCGTTAACGCGACTCCTGGCAACGCCCTCAAAAAAAGCGGAATATTTTGGTGCAGGAGGAATTGCTGTAAAATCTATATTGTACATAGGCTGTATTTTAGTGCTTGGCTTTCAAAAGTATGATTTTGACTTTGAAAAATAACAATTTATTTAAAATCATCATTCACGAAAAAATAAAGATAATTAGTAAATTTATTTTTAAAGATACTATACTATATATTTTTAATTTGTCCAAGGAAGGAAAATGTATATCACGGTTTTCAGATTTCTTGTAAATATATTGACACAAAACCATCTTTTAATTGACGCACAAACACATCTATATAAATATACACCATATATTTTCACAATAGTCCATCATTTTAGTCATTGATAGAAATTTGTGTAAAAAAAACTTCACCTTCCTCAAACGAACATTTATCTTGAAGACCGAAGACGCATTTTGACAAACTGAGACAAATCAAACAGACTCAAAGCACTGACCGCGCGGTGTGGCGCTGACACGCAGGCCGGAGCCACGAACACCACCGACGCAGAGCCGATCGTGGTCACCCCCGAGCCAAGCCTGGTGTTGCTGGCCGTGTCCTCCTCGTCCAGTTCGGTCAGCCAAAGTCGGTCCGTCTCGCCGGCACCCGTGGCCAAAAACAATGCGACCACCCCCGAGCCACCGACGGGACGCGCCGACAACTCAAAACGCAAGTTGGAAGAAGACGTTCTGGAGGCGGGATCCGCCCCCGAGGAGGCCGTCGGAGATGACAACCGCACCAGGGAAGCCCTCGCACCTGAAGGAAGTGAGCACAACTCTGTGAGTACAAAGGAAAAAAAAACTACAAATTTAATTTGATTTTGATAAATTGCCATTATTATTACTATTTCAATATATTCATTGCAAACGTTTTCCATAAAAAACGTTTTGAAAATTATATTATATCAAATTAACAAGAAATGTAGAAGCACAAAATTTTGTTGAAACGCATGAGTTAGATTTTATGGTGAGTTGACTTTAATTAAGCTCGAATTTTCCTCAATGGGTCTTTGAGTCGCTTATTGTTTTGAAGATAAAAAACAGTATCCTTCTCTATCTGCTGCGAGTTTGTTGCCATAACTCGTTGAAATGTAAAAATTTAAAAAAAAAAATTATTACCTGAACTAATTTTCAAATCTTCTTAATAATAAACTAAATTTTTTATCATTTCTTTGGATTTTCCTAAAATTATTGTAATTTTTTGTGATAACAACTTTGAATTCAACTCATTGTATCATGAATATATCCTCAATCGTGGAAATCTACTAATACTTTTCACCCCAAAAGTTAATCAAACATTAAGAGACATTTTGACCAAATTGTTTTGCTCGTTAACGCATTTGAGTTTCACTTTTCACTTTTATTCCTGCACAATTGAAACGAAATAATTTTTTCTTAAACTGATAACGAATTATTCTTGTGTCTTCTCGTTTTCTATGTGTTTTTATTTTCATTACTCATTGAAATCATCATTAGTGGAGATCAAGAGAGTTGCACGCATTTTCAACTTAATGTTCGTTTTTCATTACGCAAAAATCACACAAGTTCCAACACAACATTAATTATTGTCACATCTCATTTCCACTGCACATTAAGTCACACAAAACACACAACACTTTTTTTTAATATTTTGCAAAAGAGCACACTTTGAGCATTTTTTGATTGCATCTTCAAGTAAAACGTGAGAAAAATCTTCTGTTGTCGACTCTGTAGCTGCGCGGAATGCAAAAGAATCGCTTGAGTGTGACAACAACGGGTCAGTAGGGACTTGAAGTCGCGTGGCAGATCAAAATCAATCGGATGGTTTTTCCAACCGTGATCGGTCAGACGGTCAACAAAGGCGCTTTACAGTATCAGTCCGTTATCACAAGTGAAAAGAATTTTCCGGCCTGTCGCACACCGACCACTCTTGGGGTTTGTTCTTGCAATTAGGTGTGTCGTAACGGAGCCATTTGAATATATCAGAGATTGATTCGTCGCTCTTGTCTTTTGCTTGATCCGGCGCGGATTATGCATGCAACCAGCCTTGCATGTCCGAAAATTCAATTCCCAGCCAGCATGTTCAAAGAAACGGCTATTTACAATAATGCTTTTCCTAGTTGATAATATAAGATAAAAAATCTTATATACCAGAAAAAAATGGTAAAACTTAGCACAATTTTTTTGTAAATAAAGCACAATAAGTTATTAATAAATAATTTTTTTTAGGTATTTAAAATTTGGTTTAAAATTTTATTAATATATTTCTCTAAAACAACAATAAAAATATTTCTATTATTATTTTCATATAATTCTCAAATATGCATATATTAATTTTGTTTATTGCTATTAATTAATTTTATTAATCAATTATAAAAAATTGCTTAAAATTTTCCATATAAATAATGTTGAATTCTTAATAGACATATTCAGTTAGAACCTGACGCGTAGATTTTCCTCATTTGCATATGGGTTAAAATGAATAATAGAGTATTCTAATGGCATTGATGCAATTATTAGAGCTTCAAAACAATGAAATCTGAGATGATACACAAAGCTGGGCCGTTTAATTTTTAAGATAGACAGCTATATAATGTGAAAGATTTTTTCCCAAATAAATCGAACTTATATTTTAAATCATATCCAAGCGAGGATCAATTAGTCGCGCGTCTGTTATCGAAATTATTGGTTTCCCATGCGATTCTCTTCGCCGTTGACACGCGTGTTGAAAGAATGGCGGATCATTTTCGCCACCGCCGCGTGACGCCCTGGAAAAGTCATCGTTAACCTTTGATTGTCACCGACTTGTCTAATGAGAGACGAATTAACGTTTCAATTCGGACGAAAACCGATCGTTCAAATCACTTGTCAGCGTCATCGAACGAAAATCAAAAGCATGTGTGAAGAATCGCAAGTGAGCGCTGCACCGGCGGTGGGTCGATGTTCTTGACGTGACAACGACCTTTGTGCTTGTTGGATGAACATGACAAAGCTCAAACCGAAAAACCACGTGACTGCAGGTAGCTTTTTATCCGCCACGAAAAAGATACACCGCCGCGCGGCTGCAGTGCCATTGTCGATTTTTTTTTATTATCTTTTCTTATTTGATTCGTTTGTTTGTTTGCTGCTTGCTGGTCGGTTGGTTGCATCGATTCGCGCCGATCGCACGGATTTTGATTAATTTCATCCGCGTGCGCGACATTCGCTCGTTTGACCACTAAAATGATTTTGTAATGAATTTGTCCGCTGGACATACGCGGAACTTGGCGTGGAATTTTATTTACTTGACTTTTTTCTTTATAAGGTTAATCACTTTCGATCCGACTTTGATTGTGAGATGTGAAAGAATTCTGTGTCATGTTTGAACGCTGCGTAAATTAAATTCATAAGGAATTTATTCAATCAACAATACAAAATTTTTCCTTCAAAGAGGGTATTATTGGTAAATAATACCTATTTTACATTGATTTTTGATAACTGGTCACAAAAAAGAGTTCTCATTATTATTATTATTATTATTATTATTTATTCTTCTCAAATCAAATATTAATTAATTTATATAAAAAAGTAAAATTATCTGCAAATATGTATTTTTTAGGACATTTATTTCGATAAATTTCAGTAAAATAAATTAAATACGTATTTAATTTGGGCAATTCTGTTTCTATTTTTTTGTATTTATTGAAAAAGCAAACTTTTATGTGCATAAATGTGAAATCACTTAGAATTTTGACTTTTGATAGTGGATCTCATGGCATCAGATACCGGCATTCACGCGCCCTTGCTTACGCATAGAGGAACTTTTTGCGCGAACCATTCAGTTATGTCATTAACTTCCCCAGTGACACACTTTTGAAACGTTTATAATTACTGGAGTGCTTCCGTAAATCCGTGCAAGAATAGCAAGTTCATCAAAATTTTAATTTATAGTTGTTTTTTCTAAAAATAATTTAATTTACTAATATTCACGTTTCACATTCATTTTTAATTTTTATATTTATTTACATTTAGATTAGCTAATATCGTTGATTCATATTATTATGATAAATAATATTTTATTGATAAACTTTTAAAATCACCTAAATCAATAAAATTAGTTTAAAAATACTACAAAATAATAATGCTCTCGGGAATTTATCCTTTCGGTAACCATTTTTCAATCAATCATCCGCCGTGGTAAATTAATTAAAATTATGAACAAAGAAAAGTTTTATGGTACAAGGTCTGTATAAAATATTTATAAATTAACAATGTTATGGTTCATTATGTTCATAAAATGAAAAAAGTTGGCATTTAGCAAAAGTCACGTCTTTTAGTTCATTATAAGCTGATAATATAATGATATCAATATAATATTTGTGTTGTTCCATATCTAGGAACGCTTAACATTTGAACATAAGAAAATTGTCGCTGTGTTTTCTCACTTTTCATAGATTTGATTACTTTTAGAGAAAAACAAATAATAAATATAAAGGACAATTAAAAAAATTAAAAAAAATTGAATATTTTATACAAACTATACTTTTGTAAAAATATTAATTTTGGTACAAGTTATCATCAAGCCTTGACTGTATAAAAATTATTTAATCAAATCAATGAAGTCAAACTGACATTCCAAATTAGAGTTTTTTTTTTATAAATCTTTTTGGACATGACGCGTTAGTTTAAATATAAAAAAAAAATGAACAGAGATTTGGTTTGGCAATCAAAGTTTACCAAGTTTACGCCACTAACGAATTCAAAGACGGAGAGCTTAGAGCAGTACTCTCGTTTGCATCTATATATCTATTATCAGGGACTGAAGCGTGAAAATCCTTGTTTCGGAGGACACCCTGCTATAAATGCCCTGGAAGGATGCGGCGTTTAATTAAACGAGAAGGGTCGCCGCTTTGTGTGCACTCTTGCAAAAATAATATAATAAAACGGCGGCGGCGGGTCCTCAATGCCTCGCTCGCTCAATACTAGTGCGCGCGGATGGATGTGCTTAAGAGTCGGTTAGTCCTTAAGCAAAACAATGGCCAAAGCCTTTTACTTTCACTGCCAACTGACTCGGTGAGGTCTATGCTAATTACCAACACTGCAATGGGTGCTCTGCAAACGGACGTGGTCAGCAAACCGCGCAAACGGACTCAAGGATCGGATGCTGCCGTTCGCATTGTTTTCGGACACACTCAAGTTATGAAACGCAAAACTTGTTATCGCCACTCAACAAATAACGAAATTTTAGTTAATTAGCTATAGCTAAATACATAATAAAAATAAGAAATTAAATTCTAAGTTCTAAAGAGTAAAATTTACCTACAAATAATTCATTAGTATTTAGTTTATTTTTATACACAAATGTAAGTTGTACTCTAATGATCGAGTTAATGAGTTATAAATAACTTATTAACTTTTTTTTTCTTTTTTTTAGGGTCAGGCCAAGACAAAGTCTTGTCGGCCTTTGCCTTTTATTAGTGGTGCAGAAGGCTCCACTCAATTCTTTTTTTTTTATTATTGTTTTTATGTTTATTAATAATTTATAACAATTACACAATTTAATATAATTTTAAAATATTAATATAAATTGCAAATTTTTTTATTTTCTCATTTTTTTCCCTAAAATTTTAAGATAAAAATAAATAACAAATTTAATAACTAATAATTTATATACATAAATAAATTTAACTTACACCCTTGTTCAAACCTAGTTTTTACTGTTTTAAACAATTAGATTCAAAATATCACGAATTAGTTAGATCAGCAGCACAAATGACGGCAGCCTTTGGGCGTGGATTTAAAACAAAATCAATTGAATCAATTCATCAATTCCCATTCTAAGGTAAAAGTGAAAGATGCGAAACTTCGATTACGCGGAAGCTAGTTTCAACGTGTCTGTTGGCGTGAGCAGAGTGTTATGACTGCCCGGCAGGACGCATAAATTAAATTACATAAGACGAGGGTGTACGATGCGTGACCGAGAGGTAGTTTTTTGTTGTTTCAAATTAAAGATGACCAGTGAAAGTGAAACAATAGCTAGTGCTGCGAAAGAAGCTGATAATTAACCAGCGCGAAATTCAGCAGCTTTCTAGGCGCTTTTGTGATGTATAAAAATTATTTATCTCAACACAATAACGCTGCATTTTCTTGATGCAGTTGCGGCAATTTGCTTGTCAGACGATAAGGAAGTCGGCCCCGATTTGAGTTTTTATCGTTATTATAGAGCTCGCTTTTTATCGTGAAAAGATGCTCTCTGCTGAAGACACACACTGTAGAGTGCAGATTTGTTTCGGCTTTTTTTATTCATGCAGATATGACTCAATATTTTGTTACTTTTATCAGTTTTCTTAAAAAACTTACTAGTTACAGTTTAAAAATAGTTAAATTGTCGCATTTTTATCCAACCGAAATGCATTTTTTCTGTGCAACTTCCATAGAGCAAGAACAATTTTTTAAAATAATATTTTTTCTGCCAGATACTGTTGTTTGTTAAATTCTTTAATATATCAAATTTTTATATTATTTCCTACTGAGTTGGTTGAATGATTTAAAAGTATTATTTGTTTTCAATATAAAATTAAAATATGGATTAATGGAATCATAATATTGAATTTTTTAACAAAAATAATTTGATAGATTGAAAATAATTTATGTTACTCCATAAATAAATAAATAAAATATTTTTATCAAAATACATTAAAAGTTTCTATAAAAAAGACAATAAATTTTTCTCTTCTATTCACCCTCAGGTTGTGTTCGTTGCCGAAGGGGCAGGTTACGTACCCGTAACGCAGTTGAGGTCACGTTTGCCGGCCCAATTCAGGCCATCGGCGCCGTCAGCGCCAGTGGTGGTTGCGGCTACCGGGGCGCAAGATGTGAGTGAGTGGACCACAGGGGGGCACAACTGGGATCGCGCTTATCACCACTTTGGACACAACCAGAGCAGAGTTCAACGTGAGTACAAATTATTTAAAAAAAATCAAATATACTGATCATCAATATTTAAGAAACAAAAAATAAAATCTAATGAAAAAAAAAACGTTTTGCAACTTGTTTCAGACATCGAGGCTGAGTGCCAAGATGACTACATGAAAATCAGAGTGGGTTTTAACGGCTCGTTTACTGGCCTGCTATATTCATCAGGTAAAAGTCTATACATGACTTCAAAAATTTACTGATTTCTTATTATTTTTTTTTTAAGCATTTCCTTTCAAATTTTGATTTGTTCACATTTTCAATGGAAGTGACCAAAATTAATTTTGTCTAAAATGTAAAATGTTCAGGTTATTCCTACGATCCAGAGTGCGTCTACGTGAACGGCACAGGCAGGGACTACTACGAGTTTTACATCCAACTGAACAGGTGCGGCACGTTGGGGAAAAACACGCAAAATCAGGACAACAGAAAGCAGCCGTCGGTGAGTGATTCGTGAACCAGCGCAAATTAATTAAAATCCGAAATGATTGACAATCAATTTGTAATTAAATCTATTCAAAATTGGTGCGAGACGAAAAAGAGGATTCGCAGAAAAAAAAATCAATTTGCTGCTTTTTGCCAATCGATCGGCGTGACAATGAGGCGAAAATAAATTAATTTGCAGAAAAACTTCATGTGGAACACGGTGACGGTGCAATACAACCCCATGATTGAGGAGGAGTGGGACGAACACTTCAAGGTCACCTGCGAGTACGGCTACGACTTTTGGAAGACGGTGACCTTCCCTTTCTTGGACGTTGAGTGAGTTATTCATTTTTTTTCTTTTTATTCAAATGCAATAATGAAAAAAAAAAAAAATAGGGTGGCGACTGGAAACCCGGTGGTTTTCACCCTCTCGCCCCCGGAGTGTTTCATGGAGGTTCGTCACGGTTACGGCATCACAGGGACAAGGGTCAGCGGACCTGTCAGGGTAGGCGATCCCCTTACCCTACTGATCTACATGAGGAGCAAATATGGTGAGCGCAAAAAACTTTTATTAATAATAAATTGATTAGAAATTCACACCAAACATTAATTATTTTAACAAATGAAGTTAAGTTAATTGAAATTTTGTTGTTTTTGTAGACAGTAATATATTAAAATATTTAAAATATTATATATAATTTGGGCTGTTGTACAAATTCATTCTGTAAGATTTTATTAAAAAATGTATTGCGCCCGTGTGAAAACGGTTTGGGTGTTAAAAAATTCATATACTGATGTGAATTCTGATGCAGATGGTTTTGACATTGTGGTTAACGACTGCTATGCGCACAATGGAGCCAACAAGAGGATCCAGTTGATCGACCAGTACGGGTGAGTGCTTGATCTCCATTTTTTGTCTCACTTCACGCTCAAAAGCATTTCCGAGCGGATCTGAATTTCACTTGCAAATTAATTTCAGTAACTTCAGAAAAATAAATCTCAATATTTATGCGTTTTCTTTGTGCACAATTCAGTTGTCCGGTGGACGAAAAGTTGATCAGCAGATTCCGCGGCTCTTGGAGCGAAACCGGCGTGTACGAAACGCAGGTGTTCGCCTACATGAAGACCTTCAGGTTCACGGGCAGTCCGGCCCTGTACGTCGAGTGCGACGTCAGAATGTGCCACGGAAAATGCCCGGTTGGTTTTCTCAAGACGAAAAGTGCGAGATTTTTACTTTACTTTTGCTTTGCTTTGAAATGCAGAATCAGCCGTGCCACTGGAGAAATGCGAAAAGCGTGTCCAGGCGGTCGGTGCCGGACAACCTGCTTCAGTCGTCGCAGTTACCGCGGCTGTCCGAGAACATCAGTTTGTTCCAGTCGCTGCGTGTCTTGCAGGAGGGAGAGCCTGGGGAGGAGGAAGCTGGACAGTTGCAAAGCAAAATAGGTAAAAGTTAGATTTTGTTTGAAGAAGTTGACACTCGAGGAGATGATCATGGAAATTAAGAAGTCAGGATTTTCCTCGTTGCAAAAAAAAAGCCGTTTGTTTTTTAATAAAGACAATTTTTTACAACGAGGAAAAGCCAGACTTCTTCATTTTCAGGTAAAAGTTAATCATCATAGTTGTTTATAACTTAGGCAAATAAGGTATACAGCAAACATTATTTTAGGTTTACATTTTTTATTAAATTTGCATTTTTTTTTTAATATTAAATTTCTTTTTAAATTTAAATTTAGAATGTAATTTATTAAGTGCAACAGTTACATATAAAATTTTAATTGAAGTAAAATATCCTTGACTGCAATAAATTATAAAACTTGAATAGCAATCAATTCCAATGTTTAGAAATAAAAATTAAATACAATGTTTGTTCGTGTGCCTCCTGATATTTTTAATATTTAAAATTATTTACATATTATTCAATGTACAAATTTTAAATGGGAAAAAAAGGTGTACAAATAGCAGATGTTTGCTAAAACGCTCTCGAAATCAAAAGAAACTCGGCCTCCGCGGTAGACCCAATACCAGAATAAAATAATTTATTGGTTTGAATCATAGGGACAAAAATAAAAAGATGTACATCGTGTATTATTTAAATAATGATTGAATACTAAGGAAATGAAAAGCCCTGAAGATATCAACAATTTTTGATAATTAGTATAATTACTTAAAATTGAATACTTTGTTTTTATTTTAGCATTTGGAGATGATGAGAGTATCTGCGTCAAAAGTGGTCCATTCACAGCTTTGCTAGGTGAGTTTCAAAATAAGAAGTTGCAATAATTATTAAATTATTCACCGATATTCTCTAGTTTGATTTTTATTGATGGATTCAGTTTTTCTTCATTTAAATAATTTTTTTTTTTTTTTGCAATTAAACGATAATAGAACATGTCTACTTAATTATCAGTTCATATTTTTGTGTGTGCCAGAGATTAAAAAAACTTGACATTAAAATCATTATTTAAAAGTTTTGTGTTGCATTTGTAGAATACTATGTTGAATTTTCCCCTCTCTTTATAAACTTTTCCAAATTGCGAATTTGCATAATTTTACTGCGAATTTTACAAGAACCCTTTAAACAAAAGACATGATAATTTAAAACTGATTACAAAAAAGTTTTATTTTTGGCGTGTGTTTGCAGGGATGGGGTGCCTAGTGACGGCGTGTTTGGGCATTGCCGTGATGCTGCTGTGCTTCAGGGTGCGCGCCCTGAAGAAGGGCGCCCCTCTTGAGCTGACGGACGCGGAGGTGCGGCAGAACCGCGACCTCTTTATCGGCACCAACCCGTCGCTCCACTCGATCGACTTCCTCACCCACAAGGGCCACATCAACTGACGCGATCGTGAGTGCAACCAACGAGGACAAATCTTCCGTAGTTCGCGCCACAATAATGCGCTTTTCTTTAGTGAAAACGTAAATCTGTGAATCATGTAGAAATAGAAGAAAAACTTTCAAGTGCGAAAGGAGCAGACAATTTAAGAAAAAAAACTTGGCGTCTCAATGGGTAATTTGGCAGACTGTTGGTCTCTGTTAAAATTTTCACAGAAGGTTGGAAAAGCAAAAATAGAAAAGTACAAATTGAATTTGAACATAAAAAAATATGGAAATTAAATGGTAATTAAATCTGATTTAATTATAATTAAAAATCAAACAGATCCACTGTATTGAATAGCACGGAGAATTTGCCGACCTGATATGGTGCAAAAAAAAAAAAAATAGACCAGACCGGCGTCCTCTCCTGCTATTCCCGTTTCCCACTTTGCCCACGTTATTACCACGAAACGGAAAATACGGAAATGCCAAATAGGAAACAACGTTCGATTTTCTGGACTTGCGTGAATTGTAAATAAAACTCGACTTGTTAGTTTGTAGCTTTTAATAAAACTTGCGTTCGTATAGCGTGTAAAAATCTCATAAATACCATTGAATTGTAAGTTTCTTTGCATGCACATTTCATGGAACCGCACCAAAACTGTCTGTCGGCCACTAGTTCAGTAAGTTAACTTATTGAATAAAAGACTTAAGTTGTAGAAACTGTAATTAGAGCATTTTCCTAGAAATAAAATTTAATATAACGAAAATTGCATATTTTAATTTAATATTTTACATCTTGTTCACAAGGAAATATTTTTCCACTACAGTCCCGCAATGATAAAAACAAAAAATTATGAGTCAGCTGGTTCAACATAATTTCTCGGAAAGTACCCTTGCGTGCCGTTTGAAGCGCGAACTTCGATCCACTCGTCACTTACAGTTGATATAAACTTGACTAAATCACCTTCTTGCAAGGTTATATCAGTCGGATGCTGAAAATTAAAAATAAATCAATAAATAATAATGGGCGCACTATTCTCTTCACTTAGTGCTCCCGGTAGAAAATATACCCCGGGGTAAATAAAAAAAGGGATAAATTTTAACCCACTGTATTAGGAAAAATATTTTTTTATATCGCGCCTTCAATTTCTTTTCCTCGATTCAATTGGCATGAATTTTTCTTGACCGCGTCAATTTTCTCTGATCACAAAATTGCAATAATTGTGAAAATGAGTGAAAAATTTAGATCCAAAGTCAAAATCGAATTTGAAATTCTTTTCATTTTACTTAGAACTTAGAACTTTTTAACAAAACAAAATTACTTGAATAAATATCTCTTTTTAAATTTCATGCGAGTAAATTTCACAATTTTTAAAAATGTGAACAATTTTAGGGTAGCAAATATTATAAATATTAAATATTGTTAAGAAATATTATCTCTATTTGAATCTGAAAATAAATGGATAGTTCATTAGATTAAATTTTTTACGATATTAAAAAAAGATAATTTTAATAATATTTAACAAAAGTTTTTTAATGTTTAATATTTATGAACAATAATTAAATTATATGATTATATTTTAGAATTAATTTAAATTTTTTTATAAACTTTTTTTATTAGATTTTTTAAAATGTTCAGTTCTGGCACAACCATATTAATTTAATTATAGCGATTTTTTTATTATCTTTTCATTACATTGAAAACAAGAGAATGAAATCGTTTAAATGAATTTATATTAAATAATCCGAAATAAATTGAGCCTCAAGAAGACAAAAAAAATTGTAGTTCCATGATATCAATTTAGAGCTCTTTGGCGTATCCAATTAATATTATTAGTTTTTTTATAAATATTGCGTTAAATGAAACTGACCTTTGCCGTGTAGTCGTACATGACCCTGTAGAGCTGTCCGCCGGCAACAAAGGAACCTTGCATCAAGTCTGCGTACACGGCCTCCTCCTCTTCGTCTGCACGTTGCGAAGCCCCTGCCCCGAAATTGTACTCGCCGCTCTCTGGCTTGTCCACCTTCCTGCCCTTCGGCACCGGTTTCTTCATGACGACCGCGTACTCCACACCATTGACGTCCTCGCTCACTTGCAAGGTGTTGGCCGAAACGTACTGCGTGTTTTCGATCATGATGTCGTCTGCTTTGGGCAAAGACTGGCGCGGCTCAGCTTTCGGGGTGCGCAGGGGTGCCTTGCCCATCGCCACCTTTGGCAAGGCGGGCCGAATTTTGTTCTTCAGCCGGTTAAAAGTGGCGCCGACGTCTATATCGGTCAGTGACATTGAACTTTGCGGGTGAGAACTGAAATAAAATTTTGCATTGTTTTCAAATAAATTTTGTTTCAGTTTCTCTTTTTTAGTTAAAATAAAGAAATCTAAGTAAAAATTAAGTGAAATAAAATAAATCAAATTAAAAATATTTTTTTAGGTAAGACGACTATGAAGGTTGATGCAATTAAAATGTAAGTTGCGTAAAATGGTTTTTAATTTAAAAAAAAATATACATTAACTTACGTAGCTATGACATCAGGCCTAGTGGAGAGATGAGGTCTCGGAGAGTCCAAATTGTCCGACGTGTCGAAATTGGTCTGTTCTATCGTATCTGGGCGCTCATTGCTATTTCCATGACGGTTCACAAAGCTGGACATTTCTCGGTCTACGTCCTCCTCGTCGTACCTGTTCCACACTTCCAAAGCCTAAAACTTCTATTCAAAACTTGGGATGGGAATAAAATATTTCTAAAATCACAGAGAGCCCGAGCTGGACCTGTTGACTGACGGCATCGACCAGATTTTCCTGCAAGTTGGCCAAAGCGTTTAGCCTCTGCTCCTGCAGCGCTTGCAGGGTCTAATTTTGAAAACAAAAGGAATTTTTGACAATTTTTTTTTTCGAAATTTTTCCAATTTGCACCTCAAACGCCTGCTCCATTTTGTATTCCCAAGTGCTCCGCGCTTCTTCGAGTTGCTCTTCTGCTTGATTGACCGCGATGCAAATGCTGTCCCACTGCTGCACCGCTTTCGAAAGAGCACTTGCGGCCTAGAATTTTAAATTATAATATACATTTGAAAAAATCGTAAATTATATTAATAAATTTTTGAAATTTCAATTTATTTTTGTAACAAAAGCAATACTAATAAATATATTAATTATTAATTAAATTTAATCTGCTCAAATTCTTAAGAAAATGTAATAAATTATATTTAGCACAACAGGAAAAGATGTAAAATTAAGCAGTTTTTTTTACTTATTCTTCTCCATAAATGTTTTAAATCCTCATTTAGCTAATTGTTTATTTTAAGTTGTTGCAACTGCTCAATACCTTTGCTGATTAGATAAGGCGTAGATGTTGCCTTAGCATATTTCCTAAGCATATTTTTCATTGAAAATAAAAAGCGTAAGAAATATAGTAAATCTTCCTTGAAAAATTGATGAACTTGAAATGTGAAAAGCACCTTAGCGGAGTCTTTCGTGCCCGAGGTCATGTCATTAAGGGCAGCCCTCGCCTTCTCCAGTTCCTTCCCTTTTGCCTGCTGGCTTTTCTGCTTGGTCTGCAGTTTGGTCATGGCCGATTTCAGCATCTGCTGCACCTCTTTCACCTCTTCGTCCTCCTTCTTGCGCTGCTCCACCTGCCGGACGAGCAGTTCCTGGTGATGGTCCAGCTCGGCGTTCAATTTCTCCGCCGCTTTCGTGATGAGCACCTCGAAGTCGGCGCATATCACGTGCGAATTCTGCCACGACCCGTTCAAAATGCTGCTTTCGGAAAGTTTGAGAAATTGGAGCAAGCAAATGTTCACTTCAAATTACCCCAATTCGTTTCTACTGCCGGAGATTTTCGCCAGTTTGCCCAAAGCCTTTCCGTGCGCCTCTTCAGCCAACACCCTATTTGAATCTCGGTGTCAACACAATTACGCATTATTTTAATGCAAATTAACCTTTGTCTGAGAAATTCCAAATACTCCTTTGTCCCTTTTTGATCCTCTTTGATTTTCTTTATGAGATTCTCGTACGACTGGAAATTGCCCAGTTCTGTGTCCTGTGTTGAATTCCCAAATTATTTGAAAGGACCCCTAGGTAGAGAAGTGCAACATACCCAAAACCTATTCTTAAAGCTGGAATTCGCCATGACGCGCCTTGTTCGTTGTGTCGCTCTTCATTTCCTCCTCTGCGGATATCCCTAAGGGAAACGCAGTCAGCGCCGTTTTCTTTCTTTCAAGAAGTTATAATTTGCTTGCCGAGCTATTAGTCACTCTTATCGCCTCTCTCTCGTTATCAGCTGCTTGCGTGCTACCAAATTCAATGGCTTAACTTGAAGCGTTCGCCGGAAGTGGAATGAAACACTGGGCTTTTTATTTTATGGAAAAATGGCACATTTATTTTTACCTTTTCTGAGTTTAATGTTTCAAATAATAATTGTCATGGTTGTGTGTGTTTGTTCTCGATACAATATGCACGAATTGCAACTGGCAATACCAAACCACCTCTCTCTAGCAACATATTAGTTTTTCTCCTCCGAATCGTCGATTCCTTTTCATATACACGGAAAGAATTTGCTCGACGAGCTCGGCGTACAATATCCTCAAAAAATAATAAAAATCATCTTCAACCCAACAGACAATTTATGCTTCCAATTATAAATAATCTCGAATTGCGAACTTTGAAGGCGATTGTTCGGAATTAATTTCTGCGTGAGAATGTGCGCGTGTTTCCACTTGTTTCGTTCTATCTTAAAAAAATTACATAGTGAGCTATACATATAAATTATATGTACACGTTATTATAGCACTCTTTCAAACACGGAGCCCCCTCGATCGGTGAATAATTCGCGAAACAGTTCAATTAAGTAAAATAAATGAAGAAGCATAATTATTTCGGAAAGAGTTTTGCGGCCTTCGTTAAGTCTCCTCGGTGGATTTTGTTTGTGCTATACTTTGTTTGCTGCGTGCCTTAATTTTAACATACTTTGACGATCACTGATGGTTTTGGCACAGAAACAACACACCAGCTGAGTAAAATTATATAATAATACTAATTAAATCAGAATTATCAGTTTGGCAGTTGATGCGAATAGACCACTTAAAAAAAATACAAATTGTGCAAAATTAAGATTGTTTTCCAAGGCCAATTATTACAGATTAATACTGAAGAATACAACATTGTAGAGTTTGTTCGTGTCGGGGCAAGAAATTCGTTTGAGCTTCCAAGTTGCTGTTTTGCGAAGTTCGGTACAAAAAAAGAGAGCAACATGCCATTTTTTTGGAATGATAAAGATCCTAAAATAATTAAATAAACAATCTTTTGTTTTGATATACCATTCTTAAATATTAAATAAATTTGTAACAATTATTTGTGTGCCTTAATTGCGTTAAGTGAGAGATGATTACACTTTCCTCTTCTTCTTCTTTTTGATAAAAAGCGTCACTTTTTTACACATGTATAATCAATCGGCCATTACGAATTTCCCATTTTTGCGCGAAATCAATCAATTAAGTAAATAATTTGTGTCCACTTAAGAATTACAAAGACAAAATGAGAGACAGGGGAAGAGAGATAGAGATAAAAATATATAAAGTTCATCGTCGTTCGCCTATAAATAATAAAAATAGCACTTCTTGTAATACATCTCGATTTGACACTTTTCCTTTAAAAACATGCTTTTGGAGAGCAAAGTATATAAGACAAAAATTTCTTCTTCTCTCGTTTGTAAATATAAAGCTACACACAAAAATAAACCTAAGCACATCGTGTATATGACAAATAATCATAATAATAATAATTAGATGAAAAAAAAAACACTTTGAAATAATTGCACCAGCTGCAACAAAATGTGGGTAAGATTTGCGTTCAGGGTGGAGAAAATCTATCTTTGCACCTGCCCTTGACATGAGCTTTTCAAACCAAGAAACAAAAAAATTCTTTCTATCTTCCATGAGACCAGTTGGGTGGCAGAGTCACTCGGACAAAGCAATTTTTATATTTTAAATATTGTATCCGTTTCTTTTTCTTTTTGTTACAAAAAAAAAATTAGAAGCGAAACACAAGATGATAATATATTTTTACAAACTAAACGGGTTTGTGTGAAAATGGCATTTTATATAGTTATTGTTCCACGATTCTGCAGACGCGCTCTTCCGCATTTTTTCTAATATATTGTCCACTTTTACTCTCACTGCCACATCTCATCGTGTCTAGTAAGTCTCTTAAACGTGAAACTCTTAATATATGCTGGGAGGAGGAGGAGGTTTTTCATACTTCTTTAGTCACTGAGGTCACTTTGTGTCACTTTTGAATTCACACCGCTTCTACTGCAACAGGTATGGTGTCATCCTCTGCTACTGTGGTGGGCCAGATGTGTGTGGCTGCGGCCCCTGTAAGAATGCAAAGTAAAGAAATTATTCATTATATTTCTTAGCGAGGAGCTTATGACAACTAAACTGTAAATAAAACTTCTCAACCTTTTCCCTTAAGATCTATATAAATTTTTTTCGACTGGCCTATTGATTTGACCTTAATTGGGGTGAAATTTTTATTAATTTTGGGAAAAATTCCCATAAGAAATTATGTTAAATTTCAAAAATTCAGTTCTCCCAACAAATTTAATTTTTCTTGCTATGTCTCATTTGAACAGACATCTACAAACCCATGCTAATATTGTATCATCAAAATCAATCCTGGTTGATTTTGATGGTAATTTTTTATGTTCAAGCATTTTACTAAAGCCTCAAGTCCAGCCATCAATAAAAAATTAAAAAATTTAAATTATTTTACTTTTTCAAAAAGATATATGCAAATTTATAATAGACTGAGATAAACTACATACTTATAAAAAAAATGTGATTTGAATCTTAGAATAAATGCAAGAATTGTGTAATAAAATAATAGAGTAAATCTGTCTAAAAATATTCAGCAACAATTATTATTTACAAATCAATTTTAATTAATTATAACTATTTTGTTTCTGGAACTTAAAATATTAAATGTAATTTGTATTTTCTACCTTCTGAAAAACTTGAAATCAATATTCTTGTGTGTTTAAAAATATTGAAGGACAATTATTGGTAAATAGTTCCGAATGAAGAGTTGAATTGATTTTTTCTTAAAACGCCCGCTTTAATTGTTGCTGAGAGTCACAATCAAAAGAATGAAGCAATGTCCTACCAAATTATACACGTTTGTCTATCTGCCACTGTCACTCATGACTTCAGACTCCATCATTTGTTGGAAATTTTCTAGAATTTCAGCCTGCGTAGCGGAAACACAAAAGAAAATGGTCAAATTAGACAAGTCATTTGATAAAAGGCAGGCGAATGTATAAAATTTTGGGGGTGAAAAGCTTGTTTGGGGTTAGTGCAATGAGTGGCCATCGGAATTTGCTAGGACATCCCTCATGTGATCAAGTGGTGACTTACAGGCATAGCACCAAAGGGCGGCGCCATGTGGGGTGGGTGGCCTAAGTGGTGGCCAGACATTTTGGGTCCGTCGTCGGCCTTTTCCTCCTCTCTCCGCTTTAGGCAGGCAGCTTTGGGGTTCAGGTTGCGCTCTGGAATTCAAGAAACTGTTTTTAAAAGGCGTCCTTTGAAGAAATTAAAGGGCTTTGAAAACAGAATCAGGTGCACTCGAGGGGAAGTAAATAAAAATCGAAATGGTTTTGTAAATGAAACAAAGAAAGGGGAGCTTCTATGAGGTTTTTTTGTGCGCCCGAGGGCTACCTCGAACTTGTTGCTCTAGCTGCATTATCACTTCAACGGCCATATTTAAGATGCCAAGTTTAGTCTGCGGTTTGTCGGTCTTGAGGTGCTGCATGCACATCCGACCGAGCTCCTTGAGGGCCTCGTTAATGTCCCTGATTCGTATCCTGGACGGGGCGAGGGTGGAAAAGAGAGAGAAAGCAAAAATTAGTCACCTCTGACGCGCTGCTCCAACTGGGTAATTATCTCCACTGCCTGGTGCAGGACCGTGAGTTTGGTTTCGACTTTGTCGTTTTTCAAATGCGCCATGCACATTCGGCCCAATTCCTTGAATGCCTCATTTATGTCTTTGACACGAACCCTGTAACAAAGTGGGAGTTTTTCGGCCGTCGTTCAGCGACTATAGAGAGAAGCTATGGGCACTCGACACACGCACGAAAACACTCCAACTCTGCTTCTTTATTTTTACTCTAATTTTTAACTTGAATTCATGTCAGTTCAGTGTCTTCTTCTTTTTAAAATCGAAACGACGGTTTGAAAAGTTAAACGAAAAACATAAAATGGTCCCATTCGCCCTCGAAAGAGTGAATGGGACGGAAAATAAAATCAAATTGAGGCATGCCAAGGTAAGATAAAAAAATTCTAAACTCACTTCCTCACCTCGCAGGAAAAATTACGCCAGTGAGGCAAAGTAAACTTTTAAATAAATCACTCAAAAATTGCAAAAACTTCTACGCTTCTATACATGTGATCAAAAAATTTTTCAAACTTCTTAAAATCCGCCAAATAGAACAAATTTCAGAAGCGTCAAATTCTCTGATCATATGTTTTCTATCTTGGGAAATAAAAAGCAACGGTAACAAAAAAAATAATGATTGATATTACCTTTCTCTGGCGTTGTTTGCCTGTCGCCTTTCCTTCTCTCGTTGAGCTTTTGTGGTAGGGTCCTCGTCCTCATCACCGCTCGAACAGCTGTTGACACTTAGATTCGGTCAGACACAGCCACAATTATTACAAAAAAAATTGTCATTCAAATTTGAATGACTCAATTCATTTATTTAAAATTTATTTGAATAAAATAAAAAAAATTTAACTACCTGCGAGAGCGTTTTGATCCTTTTCCTCCGCCGGCCGTGGAGCCAGTGGAGTTCGGGCCTGGCAAGATATTAAGTCCATGGTCACTACTGCTCGGCTTGGAGTCTGTGCTGTCTGGTGGCGGTTCTTGCTTCCGTTTTTCTGCAAAATTTGGAGAAAAAAAATTAGCAACTAGTCAAATTTATCTTTAATATTTTAAAGATCATTAAATTAGAAGCCATTAAATTTTTAACAACTTAAAAAATGCAGATATTATACAAAATTTTCTTATAGTTTACAAAATATACTTATTTGTATTTATTCTGTTCATAAAACTTACTTCAGATAGAAATTCCAAAATTATATTTACAAGGTCTTTCTCAATGGTTGAAGGACTTTTAATCCGTTTGTTATAAAAATTTATTAAAATAATTTATTCATTGAAATGTTACAAAATCTTCTTAAAAATTTGTAAAATATTTAAAAAAAAAAAAGAATACAAAGTTTGTGTTGCATGAAATATTTAAGTGCAATTTATACTTCTTTCTTATTTGTCTGATTATGCTTAAAAATATAACCTTACAACTAAGAAATAAGAAAGTAAAATTGGACGAGTATTTACTTGGCTTACTAGTACTGAGCCTTTCGATTTTGATGGAGCCGTCCGTGTCCGAGGGCAGGGGTGCGTAGCTGGCGCCCACGGGGTTGAGGCCGGCGGTGGGCGTGGCCGAGGGTGGCGCCGAGCCGGGGGTGCCGGGGTGCGGACTGGGCAGGTGCTCCATGTGGTAGCCGGCGAGGCCGAGACCGTTGGAATGTGCTGCTGTCTGGTGAGGGCCGCCCCCGGAGGCGGCGGCGGCGGCCGCCGCCAGCACGGCGTGCAGCGACGAGGGGCCGCCGGCGGCCGCCGCGGCCATGGCCTGGCTCTCGGCGTGGTTGCGCAAAACGTTGAGCGCGTCGTCCAGGCGCTCCTCCATGCGCGCCCCCTGCAAAAGTCCGTTCTGTTTCAATTTTCAGCAGCTCTAGCCACGCTTGCCAATTCATTTGCCAATCAAATCGGGTTTAAAAATTAAATTTAAATAAAAATTTACAAAGAAAAAATATATATTAAAGGATTTATCAAAGTAATATGATACAAAAATAACAAACTTTTCCTTTGGTTTTTCTTAAAATTATACTGCAATTTTTTAAATAAATGTAAAATGGTTCAGGTTTAAAGCAAGGTAGGATTTGCTTCTGCCAACTTCAGTGAATGATTTTGGTCAAATAGGGAAAATTGAATTTTTTTCCAACCCTTGATTTAATGAATCTTTGAAAAACCTTTGAAATCTTGAAAAGGGGAGTTTAGAGGGGCAAAAATTAGCTGAATTAGCTGAAAATTTGGATTATGTGGATTGCAATTTAAATTTTCTAAAATTTCATTCAACATTAACCACTTATTTACTTTTAAAATCAATTACAAGTCTAATTACAAGAGCAACTTTGTTGTGCTTGAAAGTGAATTTAATTCTGACAAAATTGCAATCAGACTGGTTAAGTGTGCGGAGAACACGTTTGCTGGGGACATTAGTGTCAATCAATTTACCTCGGCGTGGGCATGGTGCCTGAGGATTCCAAGGGCATCGTCAAACCTACGTTGCTCTGTCTGAGCCTTTTGTGCCAAACGGGTCGGAGGAGCAACACAGAGTAACAAAAGAGAAAAACCAAACGCAAATTAGTCATGCAAAAATAAAATTCGAAAAAATTTAAAATCATAAAACATGCTTTTCGGGCGAAAAACGTAAATGAAATTTAAAAAGCGGACTAACCATGGCCATGTTGGAGCGGTCGGGGAGGAAGTGAGGCGACGACGGCGTGGGTCCTTGCGAGGGTGGCCAGGGTCCGTTGGCGGAAGCTGTCAACGGGGGTGGTGAGCTAACTGGGGTGGAAGGGTTCGAGCTGTAGCTGCTGGCACTTTGATCTGTGGGGTAGATCTGCAAGCAGAAGCGTTTCCAGACCAAAATTATAATCCATAATTTTCCCTCATTTTTGCATTTTGCTCAAATTGTTTAAGGGGGCGAAAAGTATAATGGAAACAAACAAAAGGGTGCAAAAAGGAAAAATAAAAACAGGAAAAGGTTGCTCACGGAAGCGAGTGCCTTGCTGAGAGTTTCTCCAGGAGTTTGAGGAGGCGGCGGGGCAACTGGGCTGCCGCCCGCTGCTCCGGCAAAGGGGCTGGGGGTGGGAACGGCCGCCCCCGTGGGGGTGGCAGCCGCCGGCGGGGCCGAAGAGCCGGAGGGCCGCAAACTCGACATTGGAGGCAGGCTGGTGTTGATCAGGGTGGAGGAATCTTGTTGCTGCTGGCTAGGTGACATGGTCCCATAGCCCTGTGTGCACATGCCAGCGTGTCAAAACAAAAACCCAAAACGACGCAAACCAAAAATAAATGGGGAGAAATCATATGAAAATCACCATAAGAAATAAAAAGGGCGTGTAAAGGAAATCATTTTATGCAAATTAAGCAGGTATTAAATATAAAAAGATGTGCAAAAAAATATCATTTGCAACTGAAAAATATACGACATTGAAAATTATAGAACATTTTCAATGAAATAATTTGTTTTGACCAAACGAATTCTTTGTCTTTAATTTTAAAATTTAATGCTCAAAACTTAAAAATATTATTGACTTCTTCAAGAATAAATTTTAATAAAAAAAATAATTTCTATTTTTTTAAATTGCTTATATTTTTTAATAAAAAAAACTGAATAACTCACCATAGGGTCGTGTGAGAGGTGCATCGAGGGCGGGTATCCGACGGCTTGTGTGAGGTGTGGAGGTGCAGGGCCCGTGGGGCCCATGGGTCCCGCCGGCGAGCCGTAGGCGCCGTAGGGGCCCGCGGAGGCGGGGCCGGCCCCCCAGGGGTCGGCAGGGCCCGGGGTTCCAGATCCATCTGCAAAGAGAGACGCGAGATGTAGAAAAGAGTGCTCCTGGGTGGCATCGAGAGGAGATAGGGGTGTTGATGTTTATGTGTTTAATTTCCGAGAGCTGGCGGCGAGCTAAGTTATGCCCAGCGAATGCTCAGCAATAACAAAAAGGAGCTGCGCGGCCTTTTGTGCTCGGCCCGAGAAAAATAAAAGAAGAGATAGAAGATGGAACAGATGTTTGTTAGCAGCGTCGATGAGATATTATCATGCAGTTATTATCGGGCCAAAAAGTTTCCATTTCGCTCGAGAGCAAAAAGAAAAAAAAATGTGATGCTGCAGCGGATAAATGAAAGAAGCTGGGTTTTTTTCAAAGATCGATTTTTGTTTTTAAATAAAATGTAAAAAAAATATGTTTAAAATATTTTGTCCTATCAAAAGATGGAAAGGTATTTTCAATATTATACTTACCGATGAAGTATGGTTCGCCATATAGGCCTGCAGATGTTTTGGGTGATGTGTATCGAGGTGAGTCTTGGCCGAATTCGTCTGATCCGTACTGAAACACAAAAACACAATCTATTAATTCCAGAGCGCGATTAATATTCAACCAAAATAAATTCAATGACAATTAAAAATAAAAAGGTAAGACAAAACCCGCGGTTTGAAATTATTAATTTGGGATTTCTGGAGTCTCACGAAAGCGTCGTAGATGTGGTTGTGGCGAATGAGGGTTTCGTAGCACGAGTACGAGCAGAACATGACGAGATAAGAGGGTGGACGGTCTCAGGGCAGAGGGCGGAAAAGCCGTAGTGGAGCCAACATGCTGCCGTTCGCGGCGAGGCTTCGTCGCCGAATGCCCTTTCTTTCTTTTCATTCTTTCGGAGACGCAATAATCTGGCCAGCGAGCGCCACGCTCCGGCGCGAAACATAATATTTTATATTTCAGTGGAGCTGGGGCAACGGAGAAGATTTCTCGCTTCAATATCGCGCGCTGGGGGATCTGCCGTTCGCAACAAGCGCAAAAAAAAAGAAGAAGAGCAAAGTGGAGGAAAAGCCGCTGCGTGCCAGCCTAGTGGAAAATTTCAATTCGGGTCTCGGCTCGTATGAGTGCTCATTGATTTTCCGCTAATTCGCCCTTTGTCCTGCCGTGGGTGGCGAAAGGGGAATGATGAGATTGGAAAGTCTAGTGCGTCACAAAATTTCACTCGATGCTGAGATGATCAAAATTTGATTAAAGAAATTAAATTAAAATTCGTTATAAATAAATTACGTCAAAATGTAGTAAATATACAAAATAAATTATTTCACTCAGCACACACGGTTGTTTTTGCGATTTTTCAAAATGGACGCTTGATCATTGATCAGAATAATTAATTTATGCTTCCCCTACAACTTCCTCTCTGCGCCGTAAAAGAGGCACCGCGAGCGCGTGAGAACCTGCCAGGCCCAAATAATAATTATCATACACGTTGAAGAGTCTTGGCGCGACAATTAAAGACAGTTTATTATGTATGGTCTAATCATGCGTGCTACTGGCGCGGAATACGTAATGGGTGTGCGCGACGGCGGACAGGTGTATTGTGCCGAGGACAGGAAATGCGGGCCGACTGCTTTCGTGCAGCAACACACTCGAGGGAAGAAAGAAAGGGCTACACCAATCGCAGGTAAATTAACGTCCTCTCTCGTTCCGGCCGATGCCTAATCGAGCTCAACAATTCTTTTCATTTTAAATGGCAACGAGAAATTTCTAATAGGAGCAGTTATGCTTCAAGAAATGGATATGAAAGGTATAGGGAGGCAGTTACATGATTTATTTTACTGATCATTGCCCTGAAAATAATAGTTAATCAAAGTAAAATAATAATAATAATAATAATAATACTTAATTAAAAAAAAGAGCTTACAAGTTCTCTGTTAACTAAATGCAATTTTTATTTGACGCTTCTGCATTCGGTTTGAATTCCCTGCCGGATTGTCCGTCCGTGTGATATTGGAAGAGTGCGGCAGGCACGTTTGCAAACCTATCAAATCGCGCGTCGGCAACAAAACACAAATGTTGTTCCAAGTGTTTGATATGATCCGAGCATCGGCGGCAATAAAAAACATCCCTTTTTCTCTCTCTCTCTCTGTGCCGGCCTGGGTATGTATGTGGGCAATAAACTATTGAAACGATTTGATATATTGGCTCGGGAACTGACCGTTTCCAGTCAGCATATTTATATTCAGCCCTATTGCGTTTCGTGCGAGACACCACGAAAATAATAACGAACCTCGAACCAAATCTCGAATGCCGCATTCGCTTCATTCCTTATTGATGAGATCTGAAAGGCAGCTTCTTTGTTCCACCGACGGTGTAAGAGATTTTCGGATTTTTACACCAGAAATATCTCTATGGTTTCCCGTTTTTTCCCTCATAAATTAATTATTAAATAAATGTCCAACGCAGAGGAAATTTTCTCACGGCCGAGCACAAAACGGAAGTTATTTTTATTTTCCCCTTGATTAGTCCCCCCGATTGTTATCGCAAACTGACCACTTTTGTTGTGGATATTGTTCCTGCCTTGGTGATGTGGAAAAAATTCGAATAGGATTGTCTGCTGCTGCTAACATGCAAAACGAGTTTTCGCGCAATTTTCGCTCAGCTGTGTGTATTTAAAACACTTTTGGCGCTGGGAATGCAGCTGCAAAACTCAAGGAAAGAAGCGTTGCGCAAATTAATTTTTATACATGGCGAGCAGCAGGTGCTTATTTGAAAAAGATTAAACTGCAGGCTATGCAGGGTGATCAAAGTATATACTGCTTATTGTTAGAAGTTGTTATCTTAGATATTTGATTTTTGTTTTAATTTTCTTGACTGTTCGCCAAAATTAAAAATGTTTTAAACGATAAATTTGACCAATTTAATTAATTCAAACGTAGATAAAAATGAAAATATATTATTCAATGTAAAATAATTAAATTCAATAAAGAAATTATTTTTAACTCAATAAGCAACACTTTCTGAAATTCTAATTGCCAGTGGCTAATCAGTTGTGGTTTGATTTACTGATTTGCAAATTCAATCGCTGATATAGTGCGCCGTAATTCTTTTAGGAATTAAAAGAATTTATAAGTCATTTAAAAAATTTTATACAAATTAAATTTTTAATTTTTTTTACAACGAACGAAGCAAATTTTTCTAACAGAACTTAAAAAATTTGAGCCTGATGGAAAAGTGAAACACATGATGGAATCGGCTGAACTTTGAGAGTGCAGTGCAGCAGCGGAGCGCGAACCCCCGGCCCGATTTCTTTTTCTTATTGCGGCAGTCATGAAAAATAAATAACTACTACTCTGAATCTCGGCATAGCAGCGGCGGCAGCAGCAGACACGTCGAGAGAAAGAAAAGAGGAAAAAAGTGAAGCGATCGAGATGTGGAGCTCGGGCAGCCCATAAAACATTTTCAAATAAAACTGCGCGCTCTCCGCATCGGGAGATCGACGAATATAAAAAATAAAAGGCATCAGAAGCTGAAGGCTGTCACATATTTATGTTTGATGGACTGCTGCTGCTGCTGGCCGGTTTTATTATATTCTCTCTCTCGCTCGTACCTCCAGCCACGGCTATTGACTTTTAAGAACCTCCGTTGCGCCGCGCACCTATATAAAATTTATATGTATGCGTCCATATGTGCAAGAGAGAGAGCGAAAAAGCTGACTAATGTGATGAATTGGCCGCTAATCAATGTAATTTGCACCTATTGTGCGCGCCAGAGGCTGATGCACCGCCGAAATAATTGAAAGCAACGGCTCATAACGCAAATATTTGATGGTTTAATGGCGCGTAATTTGTTGCGAAGCCCTTTTGAGCGGAGCCGAACGAGGATTTACAACCAGGAAGATCGTTAATGTTGTCAAAATAAAAAAAGAAAAGTTCAAAGACTTCTCATTTTTAAGAAGAATAAAAAAATCTTTCATTTGAACGAAATATTATTTAATTTTTAAAATACCCTTGAGAACAGACGCCAAAAAAGTCATAAAGCTCTAAGAAGCCACTTAGCCGGTGTCTCCTCTGCAAACTCCACAAGTTGTTGCATGCGTCGGGGCTGTTCATTAATATCCCGCGTGACTGCTGCAAAGGTGGTCGGTCGGTTTGTAGTTTGAACTTTTGAGGGGTGCAGAACGAAATAAATTCCCAGCAGCAGCAGCCGCCGTCTCGACATTATACTGCCATCATCATTCCGAGATTTTTTTCTCGAGCCAAGGCAGTTGTCCCTATTACATCAAATCTGCACTTTTTGTGCGCGGGAGGCTGCTCTCAAGTGACAGCAGCCCTTTTCTCAGTCGCAGCAAGGCACACACATGTGTTTGCGATCATCCGTCGACGAAACCTCATCCTCACCCCTCGAACGCAGACTGAAAAGTGACACGAGGCTCAAAACCGAATTTTTTCAAATCTCAATTGAAACAAAAAAGTTCTTTCCATTAAAAAATTGATTAAATTAGAATTAATCAAAATATCTACAAAGAGAAAGTGAATTACAAATTTTCAGAAAATTCACCGGTTCACTGATTTACATTTATAATTTAAAATTACCTCATGAGGATGCCTACGGATAAAATCTCATCCCCTTCCCATTTTCATCCGCCAACTTGGCGCCAATCAATGTGAGACATGCAGACAGGGGTGTCCTTCGCGGGTCGCGCGGGGGCCACCCCTGCGGCTGGTGCGCGCGGAGAAACGAGACACTCGCATGGTGGCTGCTCAAGAGATGGATATTATTGTTTGAAAAGTTTAATTTTTCCATCCGGAGCACGCATGGGGGCACGTGTATGTTGCAGTCGTCGTGTGTTGGGCCAGGAAGTGTGTCTGCATGTCGTTTTCAACCTGTCCGCGCCACTCGCGCCTTAAATGCAAAGCGCGTCTATTTTCCGCGCCGGTGCGCCCAGTTTGAGTCGCTCTCAGAACCGCGATTCGCTATTTACGCCGCGGTCAGGCTTGTGCGACAAACTTTTTCGCCGCAAATAGAGACAGAAACGGCACGAAATTTATTCTCGCAGGCGCCACATGGAGTGGAAGGTTGGACGGAGCTTTAATTGAGTTGTGTCATTTTGTGTGATAAAATGTTCTCGGGAGTAATTTTAGCCAAAGTACTGCGATACACATTTTATTTTTATCAACGAAGCTACAAAAATGAAGAAGAAGTTTAATAATAATTTTATTCATATATAAAATTTATTTCACAATATTTTAGAAGTACTACTTTATTATTGCTGTTAATTTGTCAAAATTGACAAATAAAATTGTTTAAAATCAATTTTTGAAAACGATTTATTTAAAAAAATAAAATGGAATTGTAGGAAAAACCGGCACCACCACTAGCAAGAATTTTGCTAAAACTTCCGATATCAAAAAGACTCCATTCGCTGCAGTAAGCCTCGATTGACTTGGTTTTTGTTCTTATCCATGTTGCTTCTAAAATAATCTAACTTTCATGGAAGCATAAATATAGGATAAATGTGCAATTCAAATCGAATACGCTTTTGAACAATTTATATTCAAAAATTAAAACAAGCA